AGCAAATGATTATTGTAGCACCACATTGTCAAATCATAGAGCAATTAGGCTTAAAAGATTCATCTCGCAAATTAGTCACAATCTGTATAATTAGTTGTTTTTAGCCTATATTTAATACTTTATGTATGTGTTTAAACGTTCGATGTGAAAGAATGAAAAATTTCAGGGTGGAATAGGATTATCTTTTCGCTCTCGTCTCACCTATACATGTCGTAATGGGAACAGAAGAGAAGAAGCATCGGCAACAGAGCAGAAGCAGAAGCAGAAGGAAGGACGTGACAGGCAAAGGCAGCAGATGCGAGGTCGCAAGTAAAGCAAGCGAGGACGGAAGGGTGCAGAAGAGACACAAGCAGGGATACACACGAACAACCCTTCCTTCTTTTCCTTTGCTTTATGTCCTCGATCGGCCGACGCTGCAGCCTGACGCTTCGCTTGCCGCTGCCTTCCACCCGTGCCTGCCTGCCTGCACGCGATCGAGTGCGAGATCCTCGGAACTCATCGCACGCTGCTGCTGTGCTTGCGGTTTCGGCGGAGTTGGTCAAGTAGGGGAGTACGAGCGCTGCCACAGCGTACGTACGCTTCTGCCGGATTTGTGTTTTCTGCCGGCCGGCCGGCCGGCCAGCCGTACGGGAGGGGTATCGATGGATAGGAGTGCTCCAAGGTGGAATTGAAGTAATGATACTTCTACTTCCGCTGCTACATAGGGCGTGTTTAGTTCACGTTAAAATTAGAATTTTCTTTGAAATTGAAACGATGTGATAGAAAAGTTGGGAGTTTGTGTGTGTAAGAAAGTTTTAATCGCAAATGGGATCGCAGACGGGATATAAGTGCTCCGGCATACAAAAATCGTTCCTTAGGATCGGTTCAAGGGCCACATATAAAAATGTGTATTCGAGGTCCTGTGAAAATAGATTTATTTTTCCGAACAGACATCTTAAGCGGCATATAAATATGATCGACCATGTCTCCTCCCTTTCATCATCTTAAAATTTTCTCAAGTCGTTATCCTTATCTCCGCACCTTCTCTCTCACCTCATCTCCTCCTCGTACTTATCTCTCTCACTCGACTCTCCCTCCCATGCAGCGGGCGGTGGGCTCGAGCTCGGCGATACAAATCCACCAACTAGGACCTTGGCGATGGTAGGGACATCGAGCGGGAACGGGCTTAGCAACGGAGACGACAACTACGGCAGCTCTATATTCTCTCTCAAATCCCCTTTGGCGTGGACCCAGCCGCCGCCTTCCCTCCGCACAGGATCATCTACCATGCGGCGCTGCGACGGGATCGATCTGCCCCCAGGTGACCCTACGACAGACAGATCCACCGCCACCATCGGGGTGTGGAGGGGCAGTGCTAGAGGTGGTGGAGGCGCGAGAAGAGGCAACGACAGCCTCGATGATGATGAGCTATTGGGCCTCGGTGATGGAGCCACCGCTGATGAGCGGCGATAAGTCGCCGATGGATGGGAGCTAGGCAGGGGCGTACCTATGTGTAGTTTATAGGTGTCCTAGTACCCCGGGTAGACTATCTAGCTAATTTATGTTATGCTAATTAGTATAATCGGTCAATAATTAAATAATTAGTATGTTTGGGACCCCCGGTAAATTTTGTTATGGGTTCGCCACTGGAGCTAGGTAGGGTTTTGATTTTGGGATTTTCTTTTTTGTGATTTTTCTTGTCGCAGGCGGATGACATAAGCACCTGCCCATAAAAAGCTCGATACCGCGATTTTTACAGACAATTTCGGGCACACGGACGGTCTAACCACATGCAAAAATTGGTTTTAACCATTTGGGAAAATGTTTTTAAAGTAGTGTTCCTACTATTTCGTTTTTCCGAAAATAAATAAATTTAATATAAAATATGATACATCTTAATATCATGTATTCAAATAGAAACATATATAATACTCCCTCCGTCATAAGTGATTTTGACATTTTACTTACACTGTTTGACCACTTGTCTTATTTTAAAAAATTATGCAAATATAAAAAATGAAAAGTTGTGCTTAAATACTTTGGATAATAAAGTAAGTAAAAAAATAATAATTATAAATTTTTTTTGAATAAGACGAGTGGTTAAACAGTGCAAGCAAAATGTAAAAATCTCTTATATTAGGGGACAGAAAGAGTATTCGTGGTATTATAATATATATGGGTGTGTTTAGTTCATGCTAAAATTGGAAGTTTGGTTATGTGACGGAAAAATTGGAAGTTTATATGTGTATAAAAGTTTTGATGTGATGAAAAAGTTAAAAGATTGAAGAAAAAGTTTGTAACTAAACTCGGCCGTACTATCAATCTTGTTTATTTTACTATACGTGATGTGTACCAGTAAGTGCAGACTGTACTAACTAGGGAGAGTACAGACAGTGTTACTGGTGTTAATGGATGCTTGCCGGCCGGTAGAGCTACTAGCTAGTACTACTACTCCTAGGTGCGGGGAAAGGCTCGTCTTTTCAAGCGAGCGATCCTAGCGCGAGGCGCGTACTACGTACGTACATTACGTGTCGACCTGCTGGTCGATCGATCGATGCTGCCCCGTGCTGTACTACACGTGACGTCCCGCGCGCGTATGGTTATGAACGACCGTCTCCGGCAATGGAACATACCCTCTCCTTAAAAAAATCAGCAAAGTACTACTATGGAAAACGATTTTTTATGGCGTATGTCACCCTAAAATTTTCGCTGACGGCCGTATGCGAAACCGTCGGAAACAACGTAAAGAGGGTGTGGGGCTACGGACCGCCAGCAAAAACTGATCTAGCAAAGATGCTGCAGTTTTTGCTAGCGGCGCACTTTAAGACACCGCTAGCGAAGATTTAGCGGACGGGTGATGTGGGCCACTAGCGAAGATGAAAAACACTATTAGTCACCCGGGCTTCGCGACATCGCTAGCTCCACCACTGCCGCTAAGGTAGAGTTTTTTTAGATAAGTGTCAAAATACACTAGTCCTGTTAGGTTAGAATTGACTTTTAAGTTACATTAGGTTGTAGGGGTGAAGTTAGAGTTGAACTATATCTGTAACCTGACAACCCTTTAAATATAAAATAGAGGGACGTAATAATGTAACTATGTTGATGAAATGCAGTCCAGGCGTGCATGACGAAGAGGATGACGATGATACCATAGATTCTTAGTGGCTAGGTGTGCTCTATTGATTAGGAATGAATGTTTATAATCAAACTTCTGGGAATGTAGGTTTCGACTGAATCTCGTTAACAAATGCCGTATGTTCTTATGTCATCATTTAATATGTATGAGTTGATCCATGGTAGAAGTGATAAAAAAAAGGGCATGTTCACTTTGATGCCATTTTTAACCATACTATTTTTTAGCAAAATTAAAAAAAAATGGTTGCCAAATTTTGTCAATACATAAGAAATTCTGTTAAAATTTTGGCAATATTATCATCTTGCTAAAATTTTAACATTGCCAAAATTTGGTAAGATTTATTTTGGATATAATCTGAACAGGTCCAAAGTCACCGTTTTGTTATATAGGTAACTTTTATAAGTGGGGTTAAAGTACAGAACAAAACAACTCGTTACATCACGGATCTCAACGTGGATCCAACGGCAACTAGGCTAGGACCACATACACCTAGATGCAAAAAAGTCCTCCATGTTACAACACCATCCACACAAATAAGTATACTCCAGCAGCAGTAACATTTTGATTAGCAGTGCCACTAACCTTGATGATTACACAAAGACTTTCCATGCATGCATTGGCAGTAATTAAGTGAGTTTTTGCTAGCTAATCTTTCCCCACACGGAGCAACAAACACACACGCACGCACCGGAGATGAAAAGGTGTTTTGCAACAGCCAACATCTTATATAGTCTTTCTACATACTATGAGTATTATAATGGCAGACAACAACACACGCATGCATCTGCATGGGAGAGGTTAAAAAAAAGAAAAAAAGGAGCATGTACTCACTCTAGGTTTTGCTTTATCATAACTTTAATCCTTAAGATAAAAAAAAAGGCTAATCGTCTTATAGCAGGTACAGTAGACTATAAGCCAACTATAAACATATTTTGAGATAATAAAAGAGCAGTGGGCTACAGATTTATAGCCAGCTGTAGCATGAACTTTAAGATACATATGTGTATGGCAGGTGTAACCAGATATTGATTGTGTAGTATATATTGATAGGTAACTATTATATGAATTAGCTATTAAATTGACTAAAGATAATTTGAAGCCAATAGTTGGCTATAGTATTAAACTTTCTCCTAGGTATGTAGAAGGGCAAAAGAGGAAGCACTTTTCACTCTTCAAAGGCGTGCTGTTTTTACTGGCAATAGCTAGCAAGGCAGCATCCAACAACGACAGTATATTGTCGTTGTAAAGTTGTCAAGGGACTACTCGAGCAAGCTAATGCTCTCTCTCTCTCTCTCTCTCTCTCTCTCTTAAAGTGAGTGAGCAACACCGCATTTTGATGTTGTCTACTATACCCCTGCAGGAAGCATGAAGGAGAAATATAGTGTAAATTAAGTATTGTATCCGAAGGAGAAATGCTGTAATGTTGTATCTTGGATGCATGCATTGATGCATATGCGCACTAACCAACAATATGTGTGATTTATGTGCAACATGTGAGAATGTTATATGAAGCTCAATAATTAGTCAATTAGTTTTTCTTTTATGTCATGATAACCATGTTCGTTACATAATGGAATAAGAAGTTAATTACTTCTTTCGGCTCTTGGAGGTCGATTAGATTGGACAGGTGTTGCTGGTTAGACTGTTGGTGATTCGGTCTGACTGGGTAGCCTGACGGTTAGACCAACAGACTTTGGGTTGAAGTCAATTTCGGGTTGTTTTCATGGAATTTCTAGATTGCTTCATGCTTATGACTTTTAGATGGTTTCTATACATATGCGATACTATTGTGTGCTGATGTGAGTCAAATTGGTATGAACTTGTACTTGGATTTGGATTGGAGTCCAAGTTTAAAAAGATTGGAGTATAGAGTTTTATGGGGATTTATCCGCCGCTGTCGTCACAAAGACGTCGATGTCCTGCGCTCGCACTGCTAGCACTGCCATCATCAAGCAAGAAGATGGGAAGAGGGAAGGAATAAGATGGAAAAGGAAGGAGATGGAGGAAAACGTGATGGCAGTGGCCCAATTTTACAAAATTTCAATAGCACAAATACGAATATAATAACATTTATCTCAATAGCCACACATTTACAATGGTATGGATCCAATTAACCTATGAGAAAAAAATACTTAAATTGACAAACATCTTTGTTCCATGGGAAAAAAAAAAAGAAAAAAAAAGTACGAATTAACCCCCTGAACTATCGCGGTCGGCCGAATTACCCCCTAAACCTAAAAATCAGACATTATTTACCCTAAGCTTTCAATACCAGACGAATTACCCCCCTCGATCCAATCCAGAGCGGTTTTGGCCTATGTGGCGTACGCGTGGCAATCCAGTCAGCATTTTCTTTTTTTTAATGGTAGGGCCCACCTGTCATGTATACTCTCTCATCTCCACTTTCCCCTTTTCCCCACTTCCTCTCTCTCGGCGCACACGGCGGCGTGCTGGGGCGGGTGGTGGGCGGCGGCGCGCGGCCCACTGCAGCGGCACGCGACGCAGGTCAAGCGGCAGCGGGTGGTCGTGAGGGGACGCGGGAAGACGGCGCGGGCGCGGTCCTAGTGCGGAAGGGCGTCGCTCGGCCGTGCAGCGGTGGAAGGCGAGCGTCGCGTGGCGCGGCCGGGCGTCGGTGCAGTCGGCGGTGGCGATGCACGGCGGATGGTGCGGTGGCTGGCGACGGACGACCTTGTGTCGGTCGACGCGGCAGACGGCTGGGCTCCTGTGGCGCTAGGCGCGGACGCACGGCGACGGGCACTGACTGCCTCCCCGCTTTTCCCCTTTTTATTTCATATTCTTTTTCTGGTTCTTGTTCCTTTCCTCCCCCGGCTTGACGGTGGTGGTGCCGCCGGATGGCGCTTGGCACGGCCGTGCATCGGCGAGGCGTGGTTGAGCGACGGCGAGACGCAGCCAGGACGGCATGCGGTGCGGCAGCCGGACGGCATGCACAGCGGTCATGTCGATGTAGCGGACCAAAATGACGGCTTGTGCTGCTGCTCATTGGTTCTTTCGTTTTTTTCCTCCTTTTCTTCTTTCTTCTACTTCTGCTCGTTTTCTTCCTTCTCTCTTGCTAGCGCTCCACGGTATGGTGGCGTGGCTGCCAGTGCCGTGGTCGTGCAGGCGGGCGGGCACATGGCGGGGGGCCGCCGTGGACGCAGGCTACGACCATCTCGCGGGGGGCACATGGAGGGGCCGCCGTCGACGCAGCCTCCGTGTCCAGCACCGCCGCGGCCTCCGCGTCCCTCGCCGCCGCCGGCTCTTCCCACGCCACCGCCGCCGCCGCGGCCTCCGTGTCCAGCGCGACGACGACGACCTGTAGCCGCCGCGCTGTGTCCTCGCCGAGAGAGGGAGAGAGAGAGCGCGAGAAGGGGAAGAGAAGAGAGAGTATATGACAGGTGGGCCCCAGCATCTTTTAAGAAAAGAAAATGCTGACTGGGTTGCCACGCGTACGCCACATAGGATAAAACCGCTCTTGATTGGGTCGAGGGGGGTAATTCGTCCGGTATTGAAAGTTCATGGTGAGTTATGTCTGGTTTCTGGGTTCAGGGGGGAAATTTGGCTGACCACGATACTTAGATGGGTAATCCGTACTTTTTCAAAAAAAAAAAGAGAGATAGCGGATGGACTGTCGCGCGACCGACCGGCCATAACGTCGCCGTCAGTCGGTGCGTCGTTGTGATCTTCTCCGGCCGGTGAGGGACGACATTGCCTGCCCATCCCTACCAGCGCGTGTCCTTCGTCTTCTATACGCGATCGATTAATTATATACGTTATTACACGTACGTGACTCTGTATTTCTGATGCCACGTATACTGTACCGTGACAAAAAAAAAAAGGGAATGAACATTGTCGAGTTAGATCATCTCATTCCAGCCATGAATAGACAGGATTTGGATCGGGTGCAGTCGCAATAGTTGCGACTGCAACCTAAGCAGTAGCAGTTTCATCGTCGGATACATATCGGACGGCCTGGATCGAGCATAGCACTGTTCATGGTTACTGTAGCAGTAACACTGTAGCGCAGGTACTATTCACATAGCTACTGTAGCTTAGATCTGGACCGTTGATCATAAAAATAGACGCTCCACGTTGTGTGCAGTTGCTAATGTACAGTGACTGTACCTGATCGCAATTCGAATAGACACTGGTCGATCGATCACCACTAAATTTCAGTTGATATATTCTAGGTGTGTCATCTCTGTTGGAACTTGGAAAGCCAGCCCACACACACAGTTGTGTTAGCTACGAAAAGCCTCTGCAGTGTCTTTTGTTTGCTAGTTAGCTTATCAATGACTACCAAAAATTTAAATTTAAAACTTATTTTTTTTAATTTGAGTTTGGGAATTTTTTTCGTTCATTGCTTTATTCTTCAACCCGAGCTTTCAAACAATTATTTAATATATCTATTTAAAAAAAATATTGTACGTATAAATTATCTTTGGTTGCTTCATTCGTATCCTGATACCGTTACGCCTATTCAGTAGTGGGGCTATTTTGTCAGTATGGCCTTCAGTAGTGGGGCTATATATATATATATATATATATATATATATATATATATATATATATATATATCCCTTTGTTGTCTACTAGCTAGTTGTACTGCAACGAAATCAAGTTCATCAAGGCCTGATCAAGAAGCTGCACATATGTCCTATTGTTGGCGAGAGGGTCGATCCAATGTCCCCCTCCTTGTGAATTCTTATCAAATGGACAATGCCCAGTCGCATTCATCTACCAAATCTTCAGTACTTTCAGTACCAAACAATGTAGGCTGGGGGCTTTACAAGTTGTCAAGCCGAATGGGGCCAAAGCTGAATTTTGCATTGGCCTTGTTGCTTGTTTCGACCAAACCAGCCTGCAACATGCATTCATATGGTCATATAAAGGGAAATTGGAAGCCTACCTGTCTTGGTTACATCTACATGCATTTAATTGAGGCTGGAAAACCAGTACCAGTAGTAGCTAGAGAGCATCATGTGAACATGCTCTATCCGTTTTTCTATGTTTAACACAGTTGACCTTTCGACATATATTTGATCATTCATTTTGTTTAAAACTTTTATATATTTGTAAGTCATGCTCAAAGTACTCATGATGAGAAAACAAATCACAACACAATAAATAATACTTAGATAAATTTTTAATAAGACTAATAATCAAGATGTTAAACATTTAAAAGGAGAAAGTATGTAGCAAAAGATGGGGAAAAGATAAATAATATCTTTTGTCATGAAATTAATTCCTGTCGATCATATCTTAAAACCCAATAAATGAAACTATATTAACATATTTTGTATGTTGTCCAGACAGTTGCGGATCTATTGATACCAAAAAGAAATGGGTCTCCATACCGTGAGTTCTGATCTCTGGTATATAGGAATGTAATTCATATTTTCAAACAACCTTTGATATAAACTTGTTAAACAAGAGATGATGCAGGGAAAAAAACTATAAAATTAAACGAACATTTTATTTTGTTAACTTAATTAGGGGTGTTCGGCTGTTGATTATATTGCAGCGCTGTTTCACAGCTAGTGCTGCTTAGAAGCTACTCCCTCCATCCTATAAAAAACCAACCTACGAATCTGGACATACATCTGTCCAGAGTCGTTGTAATGTGTCACATCCAGTCTTAAATTCACTTTTATGGAGGCGGATGGAGTACATTCCAGCAACTGGCCGCCGAACAAGTCCTTAATTAAACAACTTCTAAGTAATAAATCTAAAATCCTCAAAATATATCTAGTTTCCCGACCACCGTGGATCATTTAATAATTAATATCACACTTAGGTTTATTTATTTGATCATGTTTCGATGATTTAGAATTAAGCATCCAACAAGTGCTCTATTTTTCTTTAAAAAAAAAGATTGTCAAGAAATGTGGGTAGCATAATTGAACTAGCATTGCCACGCTTGGCATGATTAGTTAATGTCACGACATATATTTACCCACGCCTATATTAAAAGAGTACTACCAGTTTGCCTTGCGGTCGGGTCACTGCCTCACTGGCCACATAAATTAGTTTTATAAAATAGTAAGCTGTCAAAGAGTATCTTATAATAATGTTCTAGAAACAATTATAAACATGCCACACCTATCTTGTACACCATCATTTCGAAAAGATATCTTATACTTCCTCCGTTTCATATTATAAAACTTTTTAGCATTGTTCATATTTATATATATGTTAATTAATCTAGACATATATGTGTGTCTAGATTCATTAACATCTATATGAATGTGAGTAATACTAGAAAGTCTTACAACCTGAAACAGAATGAGTAATTGTGATGACGATGAATCTTTCACCTAAAGAACTGTATTATAAATACATTTTCATTTACTAATTCTTTATTTATTTTAATATTATAAAACAGTCCTTTCTTTATTATTTCATCACTAAAATACAGCTTATTATGTAAAGACATATCTACATAGACGGATTGATTAAAAACCTCACAATTATTTCTTTTCAAACATTATTCTCCCTCTATTGTAAAATATAACAAATTTTAGCTATGTATATGTATATAATTTTTTAAGGAAGCGTAAAAGAATTTATCTAATCATATTTATTTGGACAACGATATGTCCAGATACATAATTAGAAATTGCTATATTAGAGAGTAATTCATATGTATCAAAGCAAAGGTATTGAGATAAGTAAATTGGACACATAAAAATAGTAAGGGACCCTTTTAAATCAACAAAGGATTAACGAAGGAATTTCATAGGATTAAATTAAATCATATATGATCTTTTTCTATTTGGACCTTTGATTCAAAAGATTAGAGTTTTCTAAATCCTATAGAATTCCAACGAAATGGTTCATTGCATGTAGGAGAGAGTTTAGGAAGAGGTTCAACATCTTGAAAAATTTAGTTGAGTCTAACTCTCATTCAATTCTTGTGTTTTTCCTATGACCTAATCTAACGATCATTCATATATTTCTCCTCTCTTTTTCAATATTTTGTTTTACACTTACATTTCTATCAGAATCATGTGTTTTTTTAATTCTTTTATTTTTTTTTATTTGTACGATTCAAAAGACACTGGAAGGATGTACACTGGTAAAAGATTAAACAACAGTGAACAACGAGCAACAGAAGCATCAAGTAGGCAGCACAGCAGCAGCAACCTCTCCACTGTCCACTCTACTCTAGCCTCTCCCACCACCACCACCACCACCACCACTACACACTTTGCTCATCTCATCTCCCTCCTTCCCTCCTATAGGAATCCAAACCCGCCGCATCCCGGTTCATGTCCTGCCGCTCCCCATGTCGCCGCCCCTCGAGCTCGACTACATAGGCCTCTCGCCTCCGCCGCCGCCGCCCTCCTCCTCCTCCGCCGCCGCCGCCCGCGCGGACGACGTCGACCTGAAGGGCACCGAGCTCCGCCTCGGCCTCCCTGGCTCCGAGTCGCCGGACCGCCGCCCTGCGGCTATTGCCGCTGCCGCTGCCACTGCCACCACCCTTGAGCTGCTGCCCGCCAAGGGTGCCAAGCGCGTGTTCCCCGACGAGGCCGCGCTGACGCCGCCCACTGCCGCCGCCGGGAAGGGCAAGGCGGCGAGGGAGGGGGAGGAGGTGGGGGCTGAGGAGGAGGACAAGAAGGTCGCCGCGCCGCCGCAGCCGGCTGCGAAGTAGGTGCCCTTTGCTCCTGCGGATTCCGTCGATTCTTCATGTGTTTTTTCTTGGTGCCATGTCGTGTTCTTGGTGGTGGTGGTGGTGGTGGTGGTGGATGCTGCCTTGCTGCTGGTCGGTGTGGTTGGAGCGCGAATGGGTGATGAGTTTGAAGGATTTTTTTTCCTTACATAAAGAGATTTTTTTTGTGGGGGATTTAGTTAGGCCTGCCTGCGAGAAGGTGAAATTTGCAATCTGTGCCATGTTTATTTGAGGCAGCTCTTTTGTGGATTCGCAAAAGAGACTTTTTCCGTGGAAATTGGGTGGCAAAATTCGCATTTTTTTTTGCTTTTTTCATTTGTTTCTTTTTTAACTTTGTGGCGCGTTTTGGATTTAGCTTGATCTCTTGTGTTTAGAACCGTTCAAAAGTTTTTTTTTTCAGCTTTGCGTAGTTCCTTTTCTAGTTCCCTCTAAAATTTATACTCCTTTGCCCCCAAAGATTAATTGTGAGTGCGTGCTCTTCCTCTCTTTTTTTTTCTCATTTGAAGGATTAAAATACTTGCGATAACCTGATATTTGAAAGTTTGAGCTGGCTACCTTTGAAATGGTCAAATTTCTTCCTCCCCTATTAGATCAAAGTTCACAGAAAAATCAGTTGTGTGGTCGTTTTCAGTTTTTTTTGTCGACCCACCGTTGAACAATTATTGCTGATTCTTCTTTCTGGTATTGATTTTTTTCTCTTGTTCTTATACATTTATACTGAATTATTACTTTGCAATGATGTGCTTGTGCAGGGCTCAGGTGGTGGGATGGCCACCAATCCGCAGCTACCGCAAGAACACGATGGCAACCAACCAGATAAAGAGCAACAAGGAGGATGTTGATGCTAAGCAGGGTCAGGGTTTCCTGTACGTCAAGGTTAGCATGGATGGTGCACCATATCTGAGGAAGGTGGACCTCAAAACTTACAAGAACTACAAGGACATGTCTTTGGGTCTCGAGAAAATGTTCATTGGCTTCAGCACCGGTGAGGTTTCTCGGGTGCTATTTTGTTTAAGCTGCAACATAATTTAATCTTGATGGGCTGAAACTCACCTCCACACATCATGTTAGATGGAAAAAACAGTGGGGCTTTCGTTAGTATATTTCGAGTAAATTTCAGGTTTATTAGAGCACATGAGGATTGTTTTCAGTGGCATGCCAAACATTTGACTGAACCTGATTTTGTTTATTAAAGCAACCAGCCAACCATTATGTAGGGAATCCCTCCAAAGTTTGACCTTGCTAGTTATCTACGAATATAATTTGCATGAGATTTGTAGCATATTACGTATAATGTGGCCCTTTTAGGATCTTTTCTAGTGATCAGGTGGTGCAAACTAACCACCGGAGTACTAATTCTGCATATTTTGTAGACGAAATACTTACGCAGATATGCTTCTATTCTAGTTTTCATGATTTATTTTGTTTTTCTGTGATATTGTAGACTAGAGTTTGTATCTGGATTCATGTACCATAAGCTGATCAGATCTTGATGCAGACAACCTGTTTTATTAATATGATACTTGCTGTTAGATTTCTCGTTTAACTTATCTATCTTAGAGTTATACAAAGTGCATTTCCTCACAGAATAAAAAGTACTGAGGTGCATAGGATGCATTACCTGTATTTTCAGCATAATCATCAATGAAGGGTAAAACATTATCTCAGTTTATTAATGGTAAATTCTGCATGAGCAGTTGTATCATACCATCACAAATCATGAATATGCAGGTAAATAACAACGCTATGTAGGTTTTGGTGGATTTTAGCATGAAGGAGCCTTTGTGCTATTTGTTTATTTGGACTGACAGGTAGTAGTTGGTCTAATGTGATACCAGGTAAGGAAGGTGCTGAGAACCAGAAAGATGGTGAATATGTGTTAACCTACGAAGACAAGGATGGTGACTGGATGCTGGTTGGTGATGTTCCATGGGAGTAAGTACACCTGTACCATCTAACTAAAATAGCAATTCTGGCTGTGAATATGATTGTTAGTGTTGCTCTTCTCACTGAATTTATCATTTATCTGTTGTCTTACTTTTGGTGCAATCACAGGATGTTCACCGACTCTTGCCGGAGGCTCAGAATCATGAAAGGCTCAGATGCAATTGGACTTGGTAAGTTCAAATTGCTATGTAGATTTCCTCCCTTGCTCTTAGGGAGTTAATTATTTTTTATCATTTCATTTTTTTACTTTCTTTCTGTCTTTAGGCTGTTCTCAACTAAGGCTTGTTCCATTATTTGTGCCAAAGCTTTAGACCAGAAAATTTTACTCTCGAAAATAACCCTTGGTTGGACTTAAGATGTTCTAGTAAGGCTTAAATATTTTAAGCAGAAAAACATTAATCGGTGAGCACTAGTTTCCTTGTGTTTCTTTTTTGTAAAGTTATAAATGTTTCCAAGGTTTTATAAAAACAGTAAAACTCTCTTAATATTTTTTCCATTTTCATTAGGGTTTTCCCCTCGTTCTAAAAATAAAGTGAGGCAAATATGCTCTGGAACATTGCTGGGCTAAAATCCTAGATAGCCATGGATTTGCTGTTATTATACTGGATGCGAGTAATACCATGGCTGCCAGCTCTAGTTGAGAAAGCATGTCTTGCGAAAATGTTTGATACAATCTAAGATTTTATCAGCAACTGAACAATGCCATGAAAAGAACAGAGTGGCATGCAAACAGTGGTTATCAATATTTCAGTTGTAAATCAAGACGATGGAGCCAAATAGTGCCTTTGCTTGTTCCACTCTGATCATTTAATGGAGTCTCATTGACTGCAACCTAAATAGACACAGTTTATCAGTATTAGGATAAAACAAAGTAGTACATATAATCTGGTTTTTATTAGGGAGGGGGGGGGGGGCAAAAACCATGATTAACAATCTGGAATGGGAAAAGCTTTCTGAACATCATCCTTTTTTTACCAGATAATAGCAATAATGATAATTTACCTTGAGATACATAATTTATTTTGTGCCTTTTGTCTTTCCTTTTTTCAGCCCCAAGAGCAGGGGAAAAGTCCAAGAACAGGAACTAGAATGGTTATTGCCCACAGTTGAAAGCAAAACGGAGATATTAATTAACTGCAGGGCAGTTCCTCAAAACCATAATTTAATAGTTTTACAGGATCACCATATGATCTGTATTACATGGTTTGCTATTCTGCAAGTAAAAAAAAAAACTCTTTTAAGACTCTGTTATGTTAGGTTTGCAACATCTCCTAGAGATGTACGCTCTATTCGGTTGCACGTGTCTTTGTATGTGTAGTATTTCCATCCATGTAAATGGTTGGTATGCAGTGCGCTACCGCTATTATTGAGCACTCCTACCTATCCTGCAAGTGTTGTCCTGAAACGTATGTTCCCGTCACGTAAGTGTTTAAATGTTTTTAAGAGGTTCCTGAAGATGTATTATTTATATGACTTCATTTGGAGCACACTTATGCTAGTTTGTTTTTGCACCACACCTCAATCATACATCCCTATTTCGTTGATCATGATGTTATGTGAAACTGATGAACTAGTCCAAGTTTAGCAAACCTTATGGTTACTTTACATTTCAAAACTAGGCATTAGATGGTAAAGCAATGATTATTTGCCAGCTTTGATGTGTTGTTGCTGAGTAGGGACATACATGCACGGGCTCATATCATTATCTTTTGAAGGTTATGATGGTTGCTCTATACTATGGTTTAAAAGGGCTTCCTCAACCATCATTCAGGTTGTATAAAAATACCATAGCTCAATGGTTAATGATGGCTTATGATCCCTTAGAATCAGGCTTTCTTTCCCCCCTCTCCTTGCCTGCAGTATCTGCTGTTTCTGCTTCCCTCCTATAGAATTGATGCTCCACTCTGTCCTTTCTTTGTGTTCCTTTTCCCCTTTCCCATTGCTAGTGTCTGCTAGTTGGTGTGCATGTAAAGCTGGGCAGAATGTATTCCATGAAACACATTTTGAGATTTAATTATAGTGATCATGCCTTAGTTTTAACTCCAAGTGCCCATATCTGAATTTTTCCTATCCTCCTTGTAGTAGATTGCAAGATGTTGCAATTTCTAGTGCTGAATTTATTCCATGCAGAGATGGTGGTGACTACCCCTCCTAGGGTTTACCATCTGTTCATTCCAAGTGGCTGGTGTGAGAGAAGATGGATGTGGAGCATTGCATATCATTCATTCAGTTAATCTGCTAGTGTGTGTGGCAATGTCAATTCTTTCCTTATCCTGCCTGCCCCTGGTATTGCTGTGTAGTACTTGTTGACATAATACCAAGCAGAGCAGCATCCACTACTAGTAGTACCTAGTGATGCCTACCAAGGCACTGGAATAATAATCCTTTTGATGAAAGGTCAGTTTGCTTGCTTGCTTCCTCTATGTGGTCCTGCCCTGGCACTATCAATGCTATGCTTTAGCCTGCTGGATTTACAATTCCAAGCCAGCTTGTGATCATGTTAGCATGTTGTGAGTGTATAGTACTCTCTGTTTTAGTGTTTTTGACTAAATATACGACATTGACTTCTGGATATGTGTTTAACCCATTCTTATTTTTAAAAAAACCATTGTAATTATCGTGACTTGTTTTATCATCAAAGATACTTTAACCATAATTTATTTCTCCATATGTTCATGCATGCATATGAGTCAACCACCTCTTCTGCACCTGCAAAGTTTTTCTCTCCTGCAAAGCACAGAGTTTCCTTCAGTGTTCAGAGTATTCTCTAACCATGTGTTTCTGTACTTTTATTTATTCTATTTTTTATACTGCCAAAGATTTGGCCGTGTTATTTGAATGAAGTTTCTGCTAGTGCTAGGTACAACTACATACTCCTGGAACTGGAATCTACATAGCCTCTCCTCAACAGTTCAAATTCCTATTCTTGGTACATATAATTTTTTTTGAGGGAATGGTACATATAAAATTTAGAAATAAACTAGAACGAACTCCAATTTTTTCATGTTCTCACCAGCTAGATACTCATCTCTCCGCTTATATCTTACCTGATCCTCCCTACCACACACGAACATATAAACTTTCACATATGGCTTAAATTTCAGAGCTACTCGACTACTCCCTATGTCTCATATTAAATCAAACCCTAGCATCCCAATGCAAAAATAGTGGGGAGTGAAAATGACTAAAATGTTTCTCATTATTGAAAAAAGTAGTAATGGTGATAGGTAGGTAGAGGGTATTAAAGGAATAAACTTCTCGTTTTACGTGCTGAGGGTATGTAACAAAATTTAAACTCTAGAAGTTGAGTTTTTTTTTGAACGGAGGGAGTAGAGGCTAATAATAACTTTACCACAACTCAATTTACCGTGAGTTGACGAGTAACATAAAGTTGGTCGATAACTTATAAGCCATAAATGTAGCAAGCTTTGGCTAAATTTTTGGAGCATGACATGTGGGACCAATGTACTACTATCTTCATCTCAAAATAAGTTTATTTTTCATCCATCTTATACATACCAATACAAAACAAAAGGATCAGAATACTCATATTTTATCAAATCTCAATGCAACTATTTATCACTTTATTTACTCCAATATAGTTATTTCATACTTTTGCAAACTCTGATGCAATGATTACCTTAAAAATAAACTTATTTTAGGATAAATTGAAGAAGTTAAAAATGAACTTATTACAGGATAGAGAAAGTAATAAAAATATGGTATGGCCCGCCAATGATATTTAGGTTGAGTTCAATACGGATGATTTGTTAGGATTTCTACTGGTGCACGAAAACAGAAGCCATTTAGTGTATGATTAATCAAGTATTACTTATTACAATGATACAAAATGGATTTATTTGAATTTTTTTAAAGAAAACTTTCATATAAATTTTTTTTACAGAAAATGAGCCGTGTATCGGTTCAAATAACTCGAAATTGCCATTTGGAATCGTCCTTTAGAACTCAGCAGCAGCGTGATAAACTGTTGGCTGCCAACCAAAACAGTTCCTAGCAGCAATTCTCAAACTGGAACACAAAATGCAGCTCGCACTGAATTCTCCAAGTCAAACGAAAACATAACAACAGAAAAAAGAAAAAGAGAAAAAAAAAACAAAGAAGCAAAGATCGATCAGGGAAGGAGGCAAGAAATTATGAGCCGGGCCCACCACCCAGGGCCCTCGACAGCATCATAGAGCATGGCTTGCCCAGTGCCCCATTGTTTGCCTCCGACAGCCACCCTGGTGGGCCCCCACGCTAAAGGGACCCTGCCTCCCCTACCCCTACCCCCACGCACACGCCATGGCCCCACCCACGCGTCACTGACAGTGGGCCCGACAGAACTCCGGTCCCGTACGTCAGCCCCCCAGCTGCACGTACCCATGCCTAGGCTAACCACGCGCACCACTGTTCGTGGGCCCGACGTGAGGGCGAAAATGGGCGGGGTACACCTGCAGGTGGGCCCTACTCATCAGTAGCTCAGGAAGTACGGAGTAGTAGTACACCTGGTTCGGCGGGAACAGCGGGGTGGATTGAACTGAACGTGGGCCCCAGCGATGCCGACGTGGGAGCTTGTACCGCTGACTTGGCGAGCGAATCTGACCTGTGTGGGGCCCACACATTCTACTGTGCCACTAGGCCCCAGCTGGCGCCTGGCTGGAGCTTCCTCTCTCTCTCTCTTTTTTTTTTCCTTTTCCTGACAGAGAGAGAGATCTGAAGCCCAATTCGAGGCGAGGAGGCCCATCGTGATGAAATGTATCCGGAATCGGGCTGTTTTGCATGATGCAGAAGGAATAAGTCCACTTACCGTCCCTCATCTTCACATCGAACTTAATTGGCATCCCTAAATCGCAATACGGACGGATTTGAAAAGATGAGAGGTTTAAGGATGCTGATTAAACTCGATGTAAAGTTGAGGGAAGGTAACTGGACTTGTTCCGATGCAGAATCCACTACGTGGGCCAAATGTGTAGCTATCTTCCTGTGGTTTCGTTGCTAGTTCGGCCAAGAAGCCCATCAATTTCCACGCGAAAGAAAGCAGGAAAAGCCCGTCATTTGCCCACTCTAGTTATTCCAAAGTAACTATATTTATCACAATCTTATTTGTCCCAAAATAAGTTAACGTAACCATTTTATTAGAGTTTGTGAAAGTGAGAACAAATTAAATACATTGGAACTAAATAAGGTAAAAAATTAATTTTATTAAAGTTCGATAAAGCAAAAGATATTATTTTTGCTTTTGCATTGGTATATGTGAGATGGGTGAAAAATAAAGTTATTTTGTCCAGTTTTATATGGAATGTGATTTAGCAATACCCTTATATATATGTCGTTGGGTTCGGGGCTGTTTGGTTCCCAGCCACACTTTACCATTACTTGCCAATAAAAGTTGCCACACCTTGCCTAAGGTGAGGTGATCAAATTGTTAGCCACAACTTACTAAGCCTAAGGGAATCTTGCCACACTTTTTTGAGCCATTGACACGTGGGACCCAATTTGTTGGAGGGGAATCTTGCCACAACTGTGGCTACAACCAAACACCTGTCAAATTTGCCTAACCTTAGGCGTGGCAAACTGTGGCAAAGTGTGGCTTGCAACCAAACACACCCTTCATCTAGTTGGAGTATATTCTTGGGGGATAATGTACGTGTTCCGCCCCAGTTGGCTATAAGCCTATATAAGGCACTGTACTGATCGCATGGGCTAATCAAACAACTTGAATGAAAAGAAAAAGGCGAAACGAACTGAATTATCAGGTCAGAGAGCAAATACTACATACACACACCAGCAAAAACCACACTATACATAAATATATCGTTGTCATCTCTGAGTTGGATCGATCTACCAGAGATCTTCCAAAAATCGGCGCCCCAACCTGTAAACATCCTGAACTATCCCAGCACGCAATTAACAAAGGGTTCTTGATATCTGAACAGTGCTGCGAGATGCATGTTAAGTGGTTAATTAACAAATTCAGACAGCGGTAAACGTGCGAGGTAGCTAGCAGATCACATCGATCTCCCTCCCGTGTCCTAGGAAGATCACGTCTCGATCAAAACCATTCGATCATCCACCCAGTCGTCGTCGTTGCTTAATTAGAAAAATCGTCGCATATCAGTTTGAGATCAGCGAAGATCTCTGCCATAATACCAGCGAGATTACCAGTTGAATTAGTTTCCCGGACACACTTGCTTAATTTGTAGTAATCCGATGCTGATTTGCATTTGGCAGCACAAGCAAATTAAAGTTCAGTAGTTAACCTACAACGAGGCTGCAGCTAGTAGCTAGCTAAGCCAAGCTGCCACCGGGAAGCTTCGATTTGCTCTAATCACACACAATAATCATCATCGATCGAACGATCAGATGCTTCCGACTAACTGCAAAATTAAAATATATCCCGGTCAATCCCACGCGTATCTCTCCGGTCCTTGCATGAAATATTAGAAAATTAGCATTATATATCATGCATGCCCTGTAAGGATCTAGATACGATTTCATTTGCTTCATATATTCCCATTAATTATTTCTGGTTCAGAGCAGTGTACTATATATATTACGCAGTTGTTGCGTCAACTACACGAGTTGCCAATTGTTTAATGCCTGTGTGATTAGCAGTCTGAAAAAGGCCAAGACATGAGAGAGGCACGCACACACACACGCATGATTGATTGGATCGATCGATATCACCAAATTGATGATCCAGTTTAATTTGATCGATCGTTAGATCGAGAGATCCAATCCGTGCTGGATTTATACGCAGTTGGGGCTGCAATTTGCATTCCCGCGACATGCGTGGCCTCCTTGAAAATGTGCCTCACCGGTCGCATGGCGACTATCATATTGATATCCAAACTATAAATTATATGCAAAACCCCCAATCTCGCCTGCTACGGAGATCTCGCGAACTGGTAGTCACTGATATGTAGGTCAGGCTAACGACGGCAACATTACTGATCTACTCCCTCTGTCTCGAAATATAAGCACTTTTATTATAGTGTCAAGTCAACTATTTTTAACTTTGACTATTAATAGCAAAAAAAAAATCAAAAAAATCAATAATGTAAAATTGATGTAACTAGATTTATTGTTAAACAAACTATCGTAATATGCAACTATTTTTAATTAAAATATCTTATTTTTATACTTATTGTTAGTTAAAGTAGTATCTTGAAGACTGTGTAATAAAAAATGCTTATATTTTGGACGGATGGAGTAGCAAAAATGATATAGAAATATGCATGATTTGATGAGCTCCCGGTGTTGTAGTATTATATTTGCACATCATGTCGCAAAAGTCACCAACTTGCATTGCAATGGCAGAATGGTTTAGCTAGCTAGCTAGGTAGGGATCGTTCTTGGAAGTAGAACTTTGGGAGATTAGCGAGCCATAGAAAATCGCTGGAGCAGATCGGCCTGAATCTTTCTTAGGATCCATTAATCTCAGCTTAATTTGCTCTGACGACGTCCAGCTCTTCCTCCCATGTGGCTTCAGCTAAGCTAAGCTAAGCTCTGTATAAATAGGCAGCTGGTCGCCATCGCTGCAGCTACTACACCTTGCATTGCTCGAAGAGAGAAGACGAGAACGTAGAGGTTGTTGCAGCTGGTTGATGGGCAGCAGCCACGCCGGCGGCGAGATGTGCATGGAAGGCGGCGGCGGCGGCAGGGCGAGGCGCGCGGGGGGGAAGAAGGCGGCGGCGGCGGCGGCGGCGGAGCAGCAGCACAAGGTCGCCAAGCAGCCGCAGCGCGGGCTCGGCGTCGCGCAGCTGGAGAAGATCCGCCTCCACAACCAGATGGTGGCCGCCCTCCGCTCCGCCGCCGGCGGCGACGCGCCGTACTCTCCGCCGCCGCCGCAGCCACAGCCGTTCGCCTCGCCGCCCTTCCACTTGCCGCCGTTGCAGCAGGATTGCTACGAGGCGGCGGATCACCGGAGGATCGCCGCCGGCGGCGGCGTGCAGCCGTACTACGAGGGCATGCTGCCGTACGGCTCCGGCCGGCTGGCGGCGGCGTCGCCGGCGTTCGTGGCGTATGAAGTGAAGGGTGATCATCACCACGGCCAGTATGGCTCGTCGGAGCAGCAGAGGCAGCCGCAGTACTACTCCTGGATGAGCTCCAGCTACGACGGCTACTCCGGCGGCCGGAGCAGCGCCGGGAGCTCGTCGGAGGAGCTGGATTTGGAGCTGAGATTGTAGTAGCTGATGGATTAACCTATAGTTTATTACAGCAATTTTTTGTTAGTTTCTGATTAATTAAAGAATGTTGTGCATGGGCGAAGCATCATGCATGGATGGATGGGGAGCTTAATCATGCACAGTAGTAACCAAGAATTACTAGCTACTCTTACTAGATTAGAGCATCTCCAACATCCTCTCCAAATCAACTCTCCAAACACCCATATAGCCAACTCTTCATCTAATTTGGCTAGTCCAACAAGTTGTTTATTTCAACAGCCTCTCTATCTACCATCTCTATTACAAATAGGACCCATATATCAGTCTCTACCACCCTTCTTCCTCCTCTTCCAACCCATTTTTCTTCCTCCTACTAGACTACTGCATCCACCCCACACCATCTCCTCCAATGCGGCGAAGGTGGACGGCGGGCACGCGAGGCGACGACGGGCAGGCGGAGAACAGCGAGCGGCGGCGGCGGCGCCGAGCCTCGCCACGCGGAGGCCGGCGGCCGCGGCGAGCCGAGGCGGCAGGCTGCGCCGCGCGGAGGCCAGCGGCCGCGGCGAGCTGAGGCGGCGGCCTGCGCTGGCGCCGCGCGGAGGCCGGCGGGCGGCGCCCCGCGGAGGCCGGCGGGCGGCGTCGAACGGAGGCGGCGCCGCGTGGAGGCGGCGGTCAGCGCCGCACGGAGGTCGGCAGCCGTGACGGGCCGAGGCAGCGGGCGGCGCCGAGCGGAGGCGGCAGCCGGCGCCGCACGGAGGCCGGCGGCCGCGACGAGCCGAGGCGGCGGGAGGCGCTGGGCGGAGGCCGGCACCTGGCTTGCTGCGGCGGCGAGCGGAGGCCGGCGGTCGCCGTGACGCCGTGCTCGTCCTCATGCTCGTGCTCCTCCCGTGCCTCTGCCTGTTGTTGTGTGGGGATGGGAGGAGGTTGGCTATGTGAGCCCACCATTGGCTAGCCAAATAGAGTGGCCAAATTTGGCTAGTGGAGGGAGGGTTTTTGCCAGTCGGATGGCTGAAGAGGCTCTTGGAGCGCGTTTTTTTAGCTATAATGGCTAAAATTTGGCTTAGAGAGGTTGTTGGAGATGTTCTTATTAGTTGCTTCTGATTTGATTAGAGGCGCTGTTACATTGGTACTCTGTTAATGATGCTAGCATGTTCATCTGGATTACTACTGGACGTGGTAATGTACTGCGCTATAAATTAATCTTGATTAAGACTGTGTTCTTTCCTGGGGTGATCTGAGTGAGTTTGTTTCGTTTTCCGCGTGTACACTTCCCAAACTACTAAACGGTGTGTTTTTTTGTAAAAAATTTCTATAGAAAAATTGCTTTAAAAAATCATATTAATCTATTTTTGAAGTTTAAAATAGTTAATAGTCAATTAATCATGTGCTAATGGCTCACCTTATTTTACGTATCTTTCCAATCTCCTTTATCTCCTCTCCTCAAACACATCCGGAAGAACTATACTGTTCGTCATGTAATTCGAACACAACTCTTTGTGTTTCTCCCTCAGAAAAGCGTATTTTCAATGCCGATGTTTTCGCTTAATTTCAGGTCTCCAACGAAACAACGAAACAGTCAGGGTAGCTAATCAACTAGTAGTTGAAACTATTGTAAATTTACTTTCACACAAGTGCATGTATATCTCTGGTTAATTGGTATCTCCGGCCCTCTCGCCGGCCGTCGCCTTTTTCCCTCTTCGCGTGCGCTCGGCTGCGAGAAAGGATGGCCAGGAGGGAGAGAGGAGACGCTGGTTGCTCCTCTCCCATCGTCCGTGGATAGAAAGGATGGTGGAACCTACTGATAGGTGGGTCCCACTACTTTTTTCTTTTGTCTCACTGACATATGGGCACTATGTTTTGTTTTTATTTTAATTTTTTATATTTTGCTTCTAGTGTCGCATCACCGTTACGTAGGACGAGGATAAGTAAAACCGGCCATGTAGACGCCACATCAGCCAAAATCATCATTAAAACTGCTGAGAGACCTGCTTTGTACGGGTTTTGATAGTTGAGGGATCTGTTGTATTTGATTTTTGGGTTGAAGAACGAAAATCGGATTCGTTGACAAGTTAAGGAACCTTCAAGTGAACTTATTCCCTACAACTAAACATTCCTGCCTTAAAACTCAAACCAATTTGGTCCATGCCGCTAGAATGGGCCATCCAATTGCTCGCACCAGCTGCAAGCAGAAAAAGTACACCGAAGGTCCCTCAACTTGTCAGCGGGATACAAAATCGTCCTCAAACCACAATACCAGATATCCGGCGTCTCTTAACTAATAAAAACCGGTCACAATAGATCCGTCGGCGGTTTTAATTCCGGTTTTATTCTACGTGGCTGCTGAGTCAGGACCCACGCGGACCCCACATGTCAGTATGTCCACCTCAGCCTCCTCTCTCTTCCCCCTCTTCTCTCCCTTCCTCCTCTCTCTCTCTCTCTCTCTCTCAATTTTCTCTCTGGGGCTCTGGGCTGGGCAACCGGCGGGTGGGGAGGAGACTGACGGGGCGAGGCGGGAGAGGAGGTCCGGTGGCCGGCGACGCCGCGGCGGCGGCGGCGACGCGGGAGCAGGGGAGCATTTCGCGACCGTTTTCTTCCGCTGAATCTGGTATTTGCGGCAATGGCGTTGGTGGCGGCAGCAGCGGCGAATCAGAAGCAGCAGAAGGCGTCGATCGGGAGACGAGCGTGGCGACTGCTGCGCCTGGCGGTGCTCTGGGCGAGGAAGGGCAGCGCGGTGCACAGCCTCTGCCTGTTCAGCAACCTGCGGCGCGCCGGCGTGGGCCTCGGCGTCGTCGGCGGCGGCGGCCGCAGCGAGCGCCTGCGGTACGGCGAGCCGGAGTACTAGATCGAGGAGACGTCGTCGGCGCGGGTGCTCCGCCTCATCCCCTGCATCGCCCCTGCCGTACCGGACACGCCCGGGTTCTACGGCGACGAGGACCGCTACTTCTTCTGCCGCTGGGACACGGAGCCCGAGTGCAGCGGCGTCGGGTGCTACGACTACATCGAGAACGACGTGCTCAAGACGGAGCAGATTGTTCAGGTTGTTAGACCAACTGACCAGCTTGATGCTGAAAAATGCAGGATTTTCGGTGTGTGACTGGCGAACACCTTCGCCAGTGCTGTTCTTGATGCAGGTTGGACATGGCGCTAGAGGGGATGTGACCATCTTGCCGACGCTGGTGATCAACAATATGCAGTACCGGGGTAAGAACAATCAAGATTCAGATCAAGATCACACTGAATTGTGGCTAAGATCATTGTTCGATCAAAGATTTGGAGTTTGCTTTTGTCTGAAACAGATTTGTTTTGCTACGACTACAATGGCGAGCCGAGTGAGTGCGGCGGCGTGGAGGACGAGTGCTTCCGCGACGGCGCAATGGACGAGCAGCTCCTCGAGCTGTCCATGCCGACGCCCGCATCCGCCCGGCGCTCCGCACGCTGAAGCAGAACCTTTCACTGCTCCTCTCCGTGCTCGTCGACCGCGCGCAGCCGGCGGCGGAAAGCATCGTGGCGCTCATGGGGCAAACGGCGGAGTAGCTCGTGGAGGAGCTGAGCATCGCGTGCGAGTTGAACGGAGCGGCGAGCTCCGCCGGCCAGAGGATGCCGGTGCCGGTGACGCGGCGGATGCGGCGGCGGAGGAGGAGGAGGACGCCGACGACCACCGGGAGAAGCAGGGCACACACCGTCGATGCGGCGGTGGAGGAGGAGGACACCGGCCACCGTGCTCACCCGCCTGCCGCCACCGGCGCTCCGCGCCTCTGCTCCACTCTGCTTCGCCGGCCGCTGCTCAGCACCGCTCGCCGCCGCCTGTTCCGTTCTACCCCCCACGCTGACCCAGCCGCCACTTAGAACAAAACCGGTGTCAAAACCATCAAAGACCTCGGGTGACCGGTCTTGTATAGTTAAGGAATCTGCATATCTGATTTTGCGGTTTGAGGCCGTTTTTTATCCCGCTAACAAGTTGAGGGACCTTCGGTACACTTTTTCCGCTGCAAGCCCACTACCAAAGTCCCAACTACGCGCAGGCCTGACACAAAGGAGGCCCACTGGGCTTCACTTCCAGTCACAATGACGTGGCCAGCCGCGCCACCACCGACACCGCCTAAAAATCTGCCCGCGTCCAGGTGGCACCTGCCACGTTTCAACCCCCACCCACAGAGGCGAAGCGCCACGTCAGGATACGAGAAGCGCCACGCCGCCACGCACCCAAAAATATAATACTACGAGAAGTACAATATAATAATTTAGCCCTGTTTAGATCTTATCTTAAAGCTTTACATCCTATCACATCGAACGTTTAAACCCCTATACTCCCTCTGTTCCAAAATAAATCAACTTCTAGATTTTAAATTTATCTCAAAATAAATCAACTCTTAACTTCCTACCTACCATCGGTCCGTAGATCGAGAAATTTTATTCCTTCAATACCCATTACTTAACCATAGACCAATATAACTTATCTACTAATTAGGGATATTTTGGTCCATTATCCTTCTCCCTAATTCTACCTGGGGAAGCTAGGGTTTGATTTATTGGGGGACGGAGGGAGTATAAAGTATTAAATATAAACTAAAAAATAACTAATTGCACATATTGCGACTAATTTGCGAGACGAATCTTTTAAACCTAATTGCTCTATAATTTGATAATGTGGCAGTAAATATTTGCTAATGATAGGTTAATTAGGCTTAATAAATTTGTCTCTATGTCTCTATTAACGTATTTTGTAATTAGTTTTTTTATTAATGTCCGAATATACGACGCCCTTTATAATATCCAACCGCCGAGGAAATAAAATCGGCACCATTTCCTTCTCGTCCTCTTCCGAGTTTCCGACCCGGCGCCTGCCGCGTCGCTCACCCTCCACCAGAAATAAAGGCAGGAGGCGGAAGCAAAAGCACGCATGCGCGCGCGCCGCCTCCACCTGCTCTCTGCTCGATCGCCCCGCTCCGCTGCGACGTCCGCACCAAGCAACAACCGCGCGACGCCTGCGCTTCCCCCTCCCCCTCCTCGTCGTCTTCCTACTTAGCCCAATCCCCAAGCCGGAATTCCTCGGGGGTTTGGTTCACGCGGCGCGGGCGGGGAGTGGGAGGGGCATGGACCGCATCGTCGGCGGCAAGTTCAAGCTCGGCCGGAAGATCGGGTGCGGCTCCTTCGGGGAGATCTACCTCGGTAAGAAGCGGCGGCCGCCGCTCGATTGATTCGTTTCCGTGGCGCGGCTAGGGTTGCGGCGGCGGTTGGGGTTTTTTACTGCGTGTCATCTGAATCATCTGATGATGTTATTGTTGTTGTTGTTACTGCAGCCACGCACGTGGACACCTACGAGATCGCGGCGGTGAAGATTGTGAGTCCACTGAACTTCTGTTCGATTTTTTTTTCGATTCGGTTGCTGTTTATTCTGCCGTGCGATACGAATTAGTGTTCCGATTGATTTTGATGAAAATTTCCAGTTACTAGTTGGTTGTTTTAGCCTTTGTAGGTTGCTGATGATAAGATTGAAAATGCTGTGATGATAATTATGCGGTTAACAACTTTGAACGATCGAGGATGTGTAACCGCTGCATTTACTTTTTCTTAGTTTAGTTGTACGGCTAGCTACTTGGCCTATTCTCTTACGTCATGATGATTGATGAGCGTGGATGGAGGTTGACTACTTGACTGGGTAGGCCATGATTACGCTTGGCGTAGTGGAGTTGCATTGGTAGTGCTTTAAGCAAGAGCTGCGACGAGGAACACAGGGGTGTGTGTGTGTGAGAGAGAGAGAGAGAGCCAAAAGTTAGTGTTGCTTGAATCAGATTCCTTCTTTGATGAGTACAAGTTGTTTGTGCTTTTGTCCTGTTCAATCCTCATATGCTTCTTTGATGGCTTATACCACACAGTTGCATGCTATGTTTGTATGTAGTAGAAGATTAATTTGATTGCTCGTTTTATTATCAGGAGAGTAGCAAGACGAAGCATCCCCAGCTGTTTTATGAGGCGAAGCTCTACAACGCTCTCCAAGGAGGAAGTAGGCCCTGAATACAGTTCTGCATAGTGCAATTGTGCACTCTGTTTTGATGAGATCATGAGTTGATTGGAAAAAAAATTATGGCATCCAGGTGGCATTGCGAATGTTAAGTGGTGTGGTGTAGATGGAGAGGAAAATGTCCTCGTCATCGATTTGCTTGGGCCGAGCTTAGAGGATCTGTTTGTCTATTGCGGCAGGAAATTCACTCTGAAGACAGTTCTAATGTTAGCAGACCAGATGGTAACTAATATTTTGCATTGCTTAATTCATTTTATTCCAACTCATTATTGATAGCGTGGAAAAACTTGGAGAATGGCAACATTCTTTTCAGAAGTTTGAATACTAGTGAAACTGTGAATTTTACTTATGCAACAATTTTCATTTTGGATGATCAGTCTCACAGAAACAAAAGGTTTATTGGTGAGAGTTTTTAAATTTCTTGGATAGTTCCATGTTGTCTTGTTCTCTCACAATAGTCATTGAACACCAAAGTTCATTTCTAACAGTTATCTGAAATATTTCATTATAAAGTTTCCCAATCGCCATGCTGATTCAACAAAAAAGAACAAAAGGAAGTGTATCTCTCTTTTGACATGCAAAACTTAGTTTTACAACTTATCACCTGCAGTTGTCCTTGTACCAACTCAATCCTTTTCTTTTTCTCTTCTCTGCATGCATGAGTTGAGCACTGTGAATGATTAATTTAAGACTTTTTCTGTAAATAATTATAACAGATTACTAGAATTGAGTTTATGCATTCCAAAGGATACTTGCACAGAGATATAAAGCCTGACAACTTTCTGATGGGCCTCGGTCGGAAAGCAAATCAGGTACTGACTACTGAGTGTGACAACATTCAAGCTCCTTGTAGGGATTAATATGCTATCTAATTTTGTTTCCCTACTCTTGATTATCAGGTATACATAATTGATTTTGGACTTGCAAAAAGATACCGGGATTCCACTACAAATCGTCATATCCCTTATAGGTACTTTTGCATTTGTAAGATTTACTGCTTTATAACGTTGGTTCCGCTTCCTTGTATCACTAGTATATACAATTAACTGTGATTCAAAAGATTATCATGATGGCCTTTTGCAGAGAAAATAAGAACCTGACTGGCACTGCACGCTATGCAAGTTGCAACACTCATCTTGGGGTTGGTAAGTTGTGACCGGCAGTTGTCAAATCATTTTGAAAATTTGAATTTTTTTTTACATCATTGTTGGATTTTATTGACAGAACAAAGTCGGCGGGATGATTTAGAATCTCTTGGTTATGTTCTTCTATATTTTCTCCGAGGAAGGTAAGCATATCTTTTCTGCTTTCTAGCAAAGTATGTCAATGATCTTCACATGTGGTGAAGTGTTCTAGGCTAGTATCTGAGTGTGTAGTGCTTAAAGATATTTATTTACAGTGAAATAATAGCACAGGGCAGATGTTTTTGATATATTTGGTTGCTAGATAAATATGATATCTTTAGAAGTTTCAAGCGCTTACTTTCTGAAAATTCTTTCAGTTACAAATGCAAATTTTGTCTAGCAACTTTAAAGTTCCAACTACAGTATCTTTAAAGTATGCAAGGACACTGCTTTTTTCTAGGAACTAGCTGAATGCCCGTGCGTTGCAACGGAATTTTGGAAAGGAAGAAATTTATTATACACATTTTAAATACCTCAAACAAAATAGTCACATTCTTTTTCTCTAAATCATCTAGCTGCTTTTGCCATCACCTTCACACGGGAATTTAAAAGACACACATGTTACGCCGTAACAACAAGTAGCCCACCTATTAGGGAGTGGTAGGTGGTGGGTGGCAGATTCACCACTCACCATCACCATTGGAGTCTTTTAAAATGGTATAGAAAACTGTAGACCTCCTCGGTCACCAGAACCTCAACACCAGCATACCTCATCAATCATGTAGCAACTATTTGACACTAGAAGGTGGGAACCTGCTCTTATTTTAGGACCAGATATATTTTGTTAACACCTGCAGAGTATTTACACAAATGATTAATGCAGTATGAAGTAGTTTGCTAAAGTTCCCCTGCCATATTTTTGCCAATTTCTGTCTAATCAATGCCATGCTTCCACTCCAGATTAGTTTAGGTGCAATATCAAAGATATCATAATTTTCTTTTTCAGATCTAAGACAATATTCTTATGCTAACCATTTTAACGCACTTCTCTGTGAAGCCTCCCGTGGCAGGGACTTAAAGCTGCAACAAAGAAGCAGAAGTATGACAAGATATGTGAGAAGAAGATTTCAACACCTATCGAGGTTCGTATCTCATAAACATATCAATAAGGTTATGGCAAATGAATACTGTTTAGTTTGTTTCTGACTGACAAACACTTCTATTAGGTGTTATGCAAATCCTGTCCAGTGGAATTTGCTTCTTACTTCCACTACTGTCATTCCTTGACATTTGATCAACGACCTGATTATGCCTTTGTGAAGCGCCTTCTCCGTGACTTGTTTACGCGGCAAGGTATTAAGTGGTACCAATCAGTATGTTCAGAATTCTGTTGTTCCAAGCTCCAACATATTATGATTGACTCTGTATGTTTATTAATATCCAATATTTTCTTCATCTTTTACAGTCTATGAGTTTGATTATGTCTTCGACTGGACTGTGTTGAGATATAAACAAGGCCAAAAGGTTCAGGTATATTGTCTTGGGTCAAAATAGCCTACTTAGTATCGATTTATTACCATTTGCGGTATGTTTTAGTTTACCTCCAGTCCATCATTCATCAGTTTTCTCAGCTGTGACGCTGTCAACATATGGTGTATTTGGGGCCTTGAGTGATTATCCGGCACTTGTTTGTCACTTAACTTTATGAACATTTATTTGCTTGTTGTATTGTATCCTAATTTTGTGTATTTGATATGGTTCTTATTTTCCAAAAAGTGCTATATTGTTGCCACATGAATGCTACTAATCATTTTAGTAATAAAATCATCAAAATTGAAATGGAAAGATAACGGATTTGGCTTTATGGATCAAATTTGTACCATAACTAACTGGAGGGTGTGGGTAGTGAGACATCATGCAACTATCAAGGGTTTTTCATAATGTTCTCGCGAGAATCTTCATGTGTTTTGTTATGGCGCTTTCGGTTTAGTTATATTCATATTTTTATTATTGTACTTTACTTGCTTTGGTTTGTGGGACTCATCTTGGGCTTTATGAGCCTACTGCAACTCACATGGGTGTGACGGTTGCGGTTGTTGTTTTTGTAGAACTGTTAGTGGTTCTGGAGAACATCAAAATCCATGGTCTATTTAAGTGATGAACTGACTTTTTCATGGCCTGTTTGTAGCATGGTTCCGGAGCGACTATTACAAGAGCAACCCCTGGGGACCTTGACAAAACAGCAGGTAAAAGAATTTTTCTGCCCTTTCATAATCATATGCCTATCGAGTTCATTGCCTGTTTGAATATGTAGTCCATACTAGAAAATATATGAAAACGATTTGATAAAATTTCTTAAAAATATGTAACTTCTAGGTGTAAATGGTGCTTTCCCTCATAATGAAGCCCGGGAGCAAACAGGGCCAAGCCATCTGGCAGGGTCAGCTGCACAATTGCAGGTGAAACGGTCAACTGAGAGAGGTCCCCACCCTAACATTCAGCATACTGAGAATATTGTAAGTCCACTAGACTACTAGAGTGCTTGCATGCAACTTGCTTTTATAGTTTGGAAAATAGTTGTATTGATACTTATTCACTCACATGAGATGTAATTGATTATCACTAGTTTTGTTTTAATTGCTTCTTTGGATAAACATTCCAGATAATTTCTGGAATTGTGGAATTTGAAGTGCAAGCACGAAACTAATCATTAACATTTTCTGTAATTAGTGCAGTGGTATTAATTGTGCAAGTACGATGCCATTAAATCTTGTTTGCAGTATTTGGTCATAATCTTCTGTTCTGTATAATGGGTTTATCATATCTTGCCAGCCTAGGAAGTAAATTAGTAGAGGTGCAAGTGCAACAAACCTTCATATGTTGTTAATTAGCATTGGTAGATCACACTTATGGGTTATTTTCTGAAATCTCTCATGTGGAAGAAATGACTTTGTAGTATGTGCGAAAAACCCATTTCACATAAATGATCTGTATAATTGTCCATTTCCCCTTCATCTGTTGATTTCTTGAGTCATCATTTTGTTCATAAGTTGGTTGATATCTTCAATTTCAGACACAAGACATGACTGCCAGAAAGCATCTCGCCGCATCTGTTTTACCTGGTGCCGAATGGAGAAAAGATGGTAACTCAAGGCAACTAGGGCAGCTTGATGCTTTACATCAGAAGCAGAGTTTTGTCAGCAATACTGGCTCATCTAGCGGCCGGTTTCCAACATTCTTGCATGATTCGCCTGCAAATTGACAGGTAAACTTTTAACAATATCTTTTTTGATCAATTCTAACAGTAGAGTTTCACTTATTCTCTTGTTGGTCCTTTACAAATTTCTGTTTCTGAATAGGTCATCTATTATATGAGGCAGCGGGGAAATGCTCAGAAGATGCTCCATCTATTTCAAGTGGTTCAGAGTCATGTATCTCAAAAGTCAATTAAGCATCACCATGCAACATGTATGTTAGAAAGGTGGCTGCAGATTTGTTTGATGATGATGCTACCTGCTAATTATGCAAGGTTTGCTCGCTGTTGTGATGAATGATCCAGCAGTTTGTTTAGACTGCTGCTTAAACATTTTATTTGTTACAGGATTCGATAACATGTAAATTGTTTATATGTTAATAGATATATGGTATGGGCATATTGCAATAATGATGATCCAGACTTCTTCAGTATGCACCATATATACAATTTATTTCTTGAAGTTGGCATCGTATTCTGAAATAATTTCAGCAATAGGTACTGAAGATGCTCAAGATCTGAACAGAGGCATATACTTAAGTTCATGGAAATTCCCTGGAAATTTTTTTAGTAGGTGATTTATATTTTTCGTAGTTTTTACTTCATATATTTGCATTTAGAAATGGGCATGTTGAGTTTCTCAGATATAATGCATCATCATCAGGGTATGATGCTACAAATGCTCTACCTTGGCCTATCCCCTGTCAACCTCCTGAACAGCCAGAAAGGAAAAAAGGCGTTGGCACCAGGAGATGAGGAATGAGTCAGGTATTAGCAAAGCCAAAGAAGATGTTCGTAAGTGAAGTCATTGGAGCTGGTACGGCCTCTTATCAATTTAGTTCTTGAAGTGTAAGTTACAGATATTTTCCATCTGGTGAAGCATCTACATTATGTCTATCTCATGAAATTATATTATACCAAAAAAGATCTATTCATATGGTTGAAAGATTAGGGTTCTCAGGAAGGTTATGTATTTTGTTTTCATCATGCTAGCATTTTGGTTAATGATATTTTGTTATATAGCAGTATGTAACTGTTCTCAATGTTGCCGAGATTTCCAGTTAAGTTTGTTATGATGTCTTTCATAGTTTTGGAACAGTATGTAACTTAACTTTTTATATTCAAGGTTGCCTTTCGGGTAGCAAACTTGTTCTGAAAGTATATTAACCCACTAGCTGATAATAGCTATGTAAAACCTAGTATCATGCACACAAGATTTTCCTCAATACTACTCTAATACAAGTCAGTATAAAAGAGGCACAGTCAAACACAGAATTATGCTGGATTGATATTACTGAACAAAAGTTCAATAATAATTAGCATCTTTTGCCGGAATGACCGAAGGAGGTCATTCAATGTAATTAAGATAGCAACATAATAATTAGCATCAGATCTCATGTTGTCTGTTATCAAAGGATTGTACGAACAACTATGTTGGTTTTATGTTGCTATGAGCATAGAAGAATTTTGTTTCTTTGATTTCATTGTATTGATATTTTGTTTGTTGGAGCATTGATGCCACTTATTTGACAGGTTTGCTTTTTGGTCCACAGCTCTGCTGTTCAATTTTCCTTGGACAAACTTGGATCAGGTTAGGTGGTTCATTCTTTGGCCACTCCAGGTTTTCTGTACCATAAACAAGGTCATTTACAGTCTTGTCCTGTGGTGAGTGGAATACATTAATCACATCCCCATATGTCGAATAAAATCATCGCCATGTAGTAACATAATTGTGACTTTTTTCTTGAATTATCAATTGTCGATGAATTTTCGCATTATTAATCTTCTGGTCACGGCTTGTACATATTCAATCAAATAGGGGAGGAGGAGAATTATGCTATCTATCGACAATCGACATCCGGTGCATTCATGACTTTGATTCTGCGCTACTGATTGGCACAGGAACCTCTCTTTTGGTATGTATGCTACACCTTTCTATTGCAGTGCAACCTCCAAGTTTTGAGTTTTGACAGCGTTTATTCGTCAATGCTGCTCTTGTTGTGCTACTCGCCGTTTTGGATCATTTCCAAGTTCCATGATAGTGATTTGCTAGTGGTACATTGGTACTTGCACCACCAATGTATTATGTATATTCTGTTCTTTTGTCCCCATATCCTTCTGTCTAATCCTTGGAAAAGGAAAAGAGGAGAAGAAGCTTTGTTCTTTTTTTTTTTTTGCTTCTGTTAATGGGCATGTATTTAGGGTTTTGTCGGGCAAACAGCACCTTCCACTACTGCGAGACTGCCAAAAGCATCTTTTCACTAACTATGTAGTGTCACTTTAATCTTTTGTTACACGAATGGCTATAAGTGTTGTGCTTACTTTATGAAGTGTTTATTCTTTTGCCATGTAAAATAAAGGGAATATTTGTAACATAGTTCAGTACAACCGGCATTATTTCGATGGGAAATACAAATTGCAAAATTCAAGTGCAAACAAGTTTGTCTCCTGCAACTTGATGTCAGAAAGCACATTTAGGATAAACACCATTTGCTCTTCAGCTTATCAGATGTATCCAAAATTTAAATTTTATAACTTAGTACAATTTTACAGTTGATTTTGATTTATTTCCATCATAGTTTTTTTTAGCATAGGCTTTTAAGTTGTTAATAACATATCTGTAAGGTTTTACCCGTGTTATTTTTTTTCGCTAATAAGATGTGACTAATGAATCATAATTTGCTGTTCACTGAACTTGGAAAAGAACATGCTAGAGCTTTTTATCAAACTTGATGTGACTGCCAACAGCATGATGAGTTGATGACATTGCTAAACAAGAAAACAGGCTGTAGATTTAATCTCTACGTTGCTGTTCGAGTGGAGCTTTAGCGGCCAAAACCATATTAGTCTGCCCTGGACACACCAAAATTGAGCAATGATTAAAAGGAAACACACCTCGGCTTAGTGCATAGCATCATACCTAAGCAACACTCTAATCTCCATAATTTGTCTGATTTTTTTTATTTTGTTGTCTTAAAACACTCTTCAGCTCTCTTTTCTGAGAGTCGTGGAGGGCCCTAAGGGTCAGTTTGGATTAAGGGATTTGGATCCGGATATATTTACAAAATCCAAAACTAGACCATTTATTTGAGAACAAATGTCCATTTAAGGTGGATATATTATTCACAATTGCGTACTCCCTCAGTCCAAAAAAAAAAGACACCCTGGTTTCCGTGTCCAACGTTTGACCGTCCGTCTTATTTGAAAAAATTATGAAAAAATTAAAAAGATAAGTCACGCATAAAGTATTAATCATGTTTTATCATCTAACAACAATGAAAATACTAATTATAAAAAAATTTCATATAAGACGGACAGTCAAACGTTGGCACGGGAGCCCACGGTTTGCCTTTTTTTGGGACGGAGAGAGTATGTTTTATAGAGTCATCCTAACCATGTTCACGCCCTATTGCACAAGCCCATTGGGTAAAAGAAATCATTTGGTGGGGGCAAAGTCCTGAAAGTGCAAAGTGTGCAACTCTAACCACCATTGTACATCTTTGTATTAATGTATTTGCAAAGCCCTAACAACATTACTACAATAATGAAGAACATATATAAACATTCAACAAAATTGATAATCTCATTCTGACTCCTTCCTCTCTTTTTTTCCCAACTGAATGGATAATTAGTTATCTTCTCTTGCAAAGATTGCAAGAGTCTTTACAGGAATTAATCAACTGCTATAAAATAACAAAATGCTTGTTTTCAAGGAGCATTTGCAATAGAAGAACGTCCACAATAGGTTCAATCCGTATCTCTTCTTTTCTTTTTTCTATCATTAAAGAAGATCCACAGTAGGTTCTCTTCATTCGATGAGCAAAATGCTTCGTGTGATCGAGCTGCGGAAAACCCGGATTGCAAGTGAATAATTTTTGCCTTACAAATTGGAATAAATTTCTCTGATTAAGAAGACAGATAAGAAAAAGAAGACCTGAATCATTATCTTTCTTTTTGAACTAAGGAATCATTATCTTTCCGTAAGCATACCAATCATGAACCATCTTTGTATCACAACTCCTGGGGTTGAAGCAGACAAGACCGTGTGATCTGATTAAACGCGAAATTATCTCTAGTTTATAAGCTAGTTGGAGAATCATCATAAGGCTGGCTAATTAAACTGTAATGCGCTTATTGCATGTCTTGGGGCTTGTCCATTTCTCTTTTCTTTCTTTCTGATGTTCTAGATGATATTGGCTCATATCATGGGCACTGCACTTTATTCTAGTATCTTGTTGCTACCAATGATTCAGATTATGCTTGCGCACGTAAGAGCATCATCACCCAATTATATACAGTAGCCGTATATACTTAGTATCTGTAATTAAAGTATTACACCATGCATTTGATCCTGAGTGAAAAAGGCCCAGTATATGGAATGCTTTCTTTCATTTATTCTGTTTTCTCATCAAGAATGATCATTCAGTAACTTGGGTTCAGTCTTTCAGAATTCAAAGAATATTTTAACTGAATTCTGTGAATTCTGTGAATTCTGAAAGAGTTCTAACTGAAATCTTGAAGACAGACAGAAATCCACGTTGGACTTGCTATGCTAATTGAGTTGCTAACCAAAATGGTCACAACTACATGTCTTGCTCAGCTATTCCTGTGATAATTATAATAAAACAAGACCGCATTTCTCAAACCAAAAGGCACAAGACACCAAGGTCTCCACAGAAGAGCACACTAGAAACAGTCCGTTCTTCCAAAGGCAAACTTTGAGCTCTTTTGTAGAGATGCCATGGAAATGCAAAAAAAAAAAAAAAGTGACACTTGATTAGAACCCACTAACTATTGCATGATCCCATAAGCACAATTAATAGCACTGCCTACCCCCTCTTGTCTTTCTCCTAGCTCCCATAAATTGGACAACCTGACAGTGTCCTCCCCCTGTACTTGTCTGAACTTTTGATTTGAGTTACTTCTGAAAGTGAGCTTATAATTTGATGCTAATCTCCATCCTACATTCCTACCTCCAAACTCAGTCCTAATCCTATCAAATCTACTCATCTACCATCAATTTCTAAGTGTGTGTAAGTTTGCTAAAATCTATATTCTGATTCTCCTCCTTAATTTGTTCTTGATATGATACACTTTTAGCTGCAGTTCATTCTGCATAAAGGCTACTAATTAACTTGTTGACATGTAGATTTAAGCTATAATCACCAAACACAATCAAATGGTTCTTGCTAATTTCCTCTTCACTCTTCAGGCAATGGAGCAATGCCATCATCATCAGCAGCAGAGCAATGGCCAGCAGCTGCAGAGGCTGGAGGGCATTGAGGAAGAAGGCGGCGCCGCCGAGAAGTGGCCGCCGCCGACGACTGTCCGGCCGCCGGAGACGCCGACGGAGACGATGGAGTTCTTGGCGAGGTCGTGGAGCCTGTCGGCCGCCGAGATCTCCAAGGCCCTCAGGGTCCTCAGCGGCAAGGGCGTCTCCGACGACGTCCACGACGCCGCCGCCGCCGTCGCCGGCGACAGGAAGGAGCGGAGGTCACCGGTGACCATGGACGGCCGCCGCCATGAACAGGCAAGCGAGGAGAACGAGGCAGCATCTATGGTGAAAGAATTATGAATCATCAGGTGACGTGACGTGCTGTGTGGTGCATGGCATGCAGAGAGCGGACGCGTCGTCAATGGCGGCGGCGGCGCAGGGCGGCGCGATGAGCCCGCCCATCTCTCCCCGTGCCAACCTGGACGTGAAGCTTCTCCGGGCGACGGCTACGGCGGCGGCGGCGGCGGGAGGGAGAGGCGGGGGCGGCAAGACGACGATGGGCACGTGGATCAAGGAGCAGAAGGAGCGGAAGCGCGCCGAGGCGAGGTCGCGCAACGCGCAGGCCTACGCGGCGACGTCCGTGGCCGGCGTCGCCGCCGCGGTGGCCGCGCTGGTCGCCGGCGCGGTGTTCTCCCCTCCTCCGGACCACCCCAAGAACGGCGGCGCCGCCGCACCAGCACCGGCACCCGCACACGCCGCCGGAGCGGCAGGCGCGAAGACGGCGGCGGCCATCGCGTCCGCCGCCGCGCTGGTGGCGTCGCACTGCGTGGAGATGGCGCAGGCGATCGGCGCCAGCCACGACCAGATCCTCGGCGCCATCCAGTCCGCCGTGAACGCGCAGACCAGCGGCGACATCATGGCGCTCACCGCCGGCGCCGCCACGGCCCTGCGCGGGGCGGCGATGCTGCGGGCGAGGCTCCACAAGGAGATCCAGGCCGCCGCCCTCCCCGGCGGCGGCGCCGGCGCCGGCGACATCAGCGGCAGGGAGCCCGAGAGGGACACGTCGCCATTCGCCTTCGTCTCCAGAGGCGGCGAGCTTCTCAAGCGCACAAGACAAGGCACGATAACAGTACAAATTCTCCCAAAAAAGAGCTTAAACTTTCAGAGATTTTTCACCAAAATCCAATCCAAATAACACTCCCATACGCGTCAAATTGCAGGCATACTACACTGGAAATTGGTCACCGTCTACATGAACTCCAACCTGCAGGTGATCATCAAGATGAGGAGCGCGCATATGGCCGGCACCTTCATCAAGACCAAGAAATGTAAGATCAAACTAAACACCATGATCGGAAATGGATTTTAATCAATCGAGGAAATATTTATTCCTCCATGTTGCATGTTATCCAAATATATCATAAAAAATTTAAAAAATTGATAAGATATATTAATATGTAATAATATATAATATAACTTTACAAACATGCTTTAAAAAATAACAAATTTAACAGTAATTTATATACATGTGCACATAGTCATATTTGTTTTGTTTTTTAAAATTTAAACTCAAATGTTTGTTGAGTGATATATCACATACTAATTTATCTGTTATTTTTTTTACTTATTTGAATAACATGTAAATAAACGATGGGATCTTTCTTCGAGAGATTAGAAGTGTTTGCGATCATATCCTCATTTGCTCTCACCAAGATTGATACGATGATTCATGTGTGTTTGCAAATTATTTGCAGTTGTTGTGCTTGACATCTGCTCGGAGATCCCGGCGTGGGCGGGGAGGGAGGTGGAGGAGGGGAGCCACAGGAGGGGATACTTCGGGATCAAGACGGTGGAGAGGATGATCGAGTTCGAGTGCAGGAGCAAATACGAGCAGCACAAGTGGGTTCAAGGGATCACCGAGATGCTCAACCGCCGTCACACCATGAAAAATTAGTTAAAATGTTTCCAATGTAAATGTCAAAGGAAACAATCGGTAGTAGTAACATTTTGTGTGGTTTGTGTGAGGATTGGGAGTGAAGATTTCCATGTTCTCTGTTATAACTGACATTGTTGTTATTACTGCAAATCCATCATCAAGAAAAAAAAATGTTCCCAGGATCTTCGATAAGCATAAGAATTCTTTCCCTAAGATCAAACCAGACGAGTAGGGGGGATTCCATCTCAATCAAGCGATCAAACAGCAAATCACTGAACTGGTACTCCACCGGAATCATGAAGTAAAGAACTACCGTGATCTCTCATGGCTCTGAAAGATCATCAGTGCACGGTCGATGGAGAAGTTATCAGAGTGATGTACAGCAGTATTATCAGCGCAAGTTACCTCGTGTTAATGGCCACATAATTTTTCAATTTTCATCAACTTCGTGTCTTTATCAGCGGCGTAGTTGCATGTTAATAGAGGACGCATTGCATGTACAACACCCATTAACATTACTTGATTACGTCAAGTCATCAAGTCTCTAATTTAGCATCCTACCTCAGTATGCACATCACCGCTAAAACTCCCTCATCATATCAGCTTACAAAGAACACCGTTTTTCAGACCAATCACTGCTTGAATATCTAGAAGTTGGTACTCCATTTTTTTTTAAAAAAAAAAGGATTTTCCATGTTCTGATTTTCGCATCACTTCCGACATCTGCAGTTGTTGCTAAATATAAATCAAACAAAAAAAAAGGAGTTTTCATGTTCTGATTCTTGTGTTTGACTCTGATTACTTACGTTGATGCTAAATGTCACATATAACCAAAATCTCAACATAAACTGCAAGTCACACAGATATAGCCAACATTCATGACCACAAATTATCTTATCATACTTAGCAGGTTCACAAGGCCTTCTGGTTCATGAGCATCAAACACCAAAACTACTGCAAGAGCATGAGCATCAAACACCAAAACTACTGCAAGAGCATGAGCATCAAACACCAAAACTACTGCAAGAGGACCATGACAAATTTGCTGGATATATGAAAGCAAAATCTAATCAAAGAGGGAGAATCCAAGGTCGTCTTCACTTTCTTCCTTCTCCTCTTCCTTCTTCTCCTCGGCTTTGGGGGCCTCGGCGGCAGCTCCACCAGCAGCGGCACCGCCAGCAGCAGCACCTCCAATGGCAGCACCACCACCAACAGCACCGATGATCACCTGCGAAAAGTCGAGGTCAGCACTACATAAAAATCGGTTACATATAAATGGTATGACCATATGTTGAGTGTCAATGCACTCCACAAAACAAAGGCACACAAACCTACCAATGGCTACTTCGCATATTTATAGATTACTTCCTGGCATAAATTGTCAACTAACAGCAAGAGAATTGACAATCGTAAAAATATAAGATCACAGAGCCACAGGCTGTAATGCTAAGAAACACAATAAATATCTGTAGATACCAATTTCTATGTCATAGCTAGTAGTTAGGCCAGATAGATAATTGGCACAACCAATGCCAACAACCCGTTTATCTATTTCAAATGTGAACTAGCAGTAATCTGGAAACGAGCACGATGTCTATAGATGAAATTTGGGCTAGCAGGCAATACCCCAAAATATTTCTTTTGCACACACGAATTGAAAAACTAGAAACATTGTTATCTGCTAAATTCCAGTTGCAATGAGATGTGCACTTGACGCCTAACTATCGAGGCCACAACAGCACCAAACATCAATCAAACATGGTACAACAAATTACCCATCAACACCACATATCTGACACTAAAGCAGCTTAATTATTGCCTATTTAGATCTAAACAGAACAATATAAACAGTCAACACACATGGATTACAATAGATGGATTTATACAGAATATCGAGAACTAAAGTAATCAACGCATCTGACGAAATAGCGCCGTGGCGACGTAGATCAGCAGGACAATGGCGAATCGAACAGCAGCAGCAGCAGCAGCGATGGGGATGTGGTGGGGGGGGGAAGCAGACCTGGAAGACGGCGGAGCTGGGGGAGACCATGGCGAAGGAGGACTGGACCCCGGCGGCCGAGTCGGCGGCGGACGCGGCGGCGACGAGGCGGCGCTGCAGCTCGTAGGGGGTGGCGGCGGAGGCCTCGAGCTCGCCCTTGAGCTGCTTGGCCGTCCACTCCTCGCCGGAGCTCCGGCACACGAAGGTGTAGACGCCCATGACGCGGCGGCGGCGGCGGCGGCGGCGGCGGAGATGGAGGAGGCTTCGGGAAGGCTTGCGAGGCGAGTGGAGATCGAAGCCCTAATCGCGGGGTCTCCCGAGGTTATGTAGTCTTCTGCTGCTGGGCCTACTTGGGCCGGCCTAGGAAAAGCCCATGATGAGAAACCGTTACAACTCGGCCCGGCCCATATAACTATGGGCCATAATTTTCCTTTTTTTTTCTTTGGATTTGTCATCTGGATGATCAGCTTCTCTCCCAGGATTATTAGTGACGCCGTGCTTAGTTCTAAAGTTTTTCCTTAAACTTTTAACTTTTTCATCACATCAAAACTTTCCTATATACACAAACTTTTAACTTTTCTGTCACATCATACCAATTTTAACCAAACTTCCAATTTCGGTGGGTCCTAAACACAGCCTGAACACTGATGGTTTGAGGACGAACCAAAAAAAATTGCATCTGTTGGGATTACTAAACACTGTTGTGCTACCAAAATGTGAACTAGAAATGCTATGCCTCGTGAACCCAAAATCATCGAACAAGCCCTGAAAATACATAAACCTTATCGTTCACTTCGTTTATGGGCATGTTTGGTACAGCTCCAACTCCTAAATTTAGCTTCAGAAGTTAGGTCTGGAGGAGAGTTGTGGAGCTGCCTAAACCCAGCTCCGCAACTCTAGTTCATTTTGTGAGAGAGCTCCACCCAGCTCCACTCTCAGTTTTGGTAAAGCTGAACCTCCTGTATGACTGAACTCCAGCTCAGAAGGGGTGGAGCTAGAGCTGTGCCAAATATGCCCTATGTATTTCTTTTAGTTAAGATATACATTATCCTGTTCTTTAATTAAGGTTTTTATCTTGGCATTGAAAGTGCAAGCAAGCAGATATATTTTTCTACAGAAGACCTCAACAACTTCATGCAATAATCATGAAAAAGGAAATATATTAAGGGCCTGTTGGTAAATACACAATAAATCCTGCTAAAATTTTGATAATATTACCATCCTACTAAGATTTATTTTGACTATAATCTAAACAGGCCCTAATATCACAAAACATTTAGACGATCAGTCACCATCCCAAACAAGAGGTGCTTAGAAAGAGAGAAAAACAAGATCTGTCCACGTGATTAAGCATCCGTGTTTCTCCGATGCATGAGAACTCTTGAGAAAGTTTTACCATGACTGACAAGAGCTTCAGTTCTACGATCGATTTCCTAATCAAGGCTGTATTTAGTTTGTGTGCCAAAATTTTTTAAGTATATAAACACACATTTAAAGTATTAAATATAGACTAATAACATAACAAATTACAGATTTCGCCTGTAAACTGTGAGACAAATTTATTAAATCTAATTAATCCGTCATTAGTAAATGTTTATGGTAGTACAACATTGTCAAATCATGACGTAATTAGCTCGCGATTTACATGTAAATTGTGTAATAGGTTTTTTTTCTATATTTATTACTCCATACATATGTCCAAATATTCGATGTGACGGAAAAAGTTATAAGTTGAAAGAAAAAAAGTTTGAATCGAAGAACCGCCCAAGCCTGAAAATTCAGCGGCATTTCAACACTGGAACCGCATGTACAGTTTGTAAACCTTGGGACCAGTTGACCGGCCGACCGAACGCCCAAACTGACACCGAGTTGCTTGCTGACGCACTCACTGTCACTGACGTAGATAGGCGCCGGCGAACTGCAGCCGCTAGCGGCTAAGGCCAAGGCTCACCGGCCAAATCGCCGCCGCCGCGTGGCCTTCCCCACCAACCACTCCGGCGAGCTCGCTTTCTTCTCCACCGACTCCCACTATGTCTGCTTTCCCTTTCCCCTCCCTCCCCCAATATATCTCCTCCTCCTCCCCTCCTCGCCGTCGCGGCAACCAGTAAAAATCCAATCTTTTCCTCCTCCGTAGGTGCTCCCCCCCCTCTCTCTCTCTCTCTCTCTCTCTCTCTCTCTCTCTCTCTCTCACACACACACACACACACACACACACACACACGCACGCACGCACGCACAGACCAATTTCTGATTCATTGTCGTCTTGCTAGGTTTAGCCTGGCAGCTGTTTGATCCAGAGTTTGTCAGTTGGGAGCTAGTGGTGGTGGGATTTTTCTTTTTTTTTTTGTTTTTATGGATTTTGTTGGGAAAAGATTATGTTTGGGGTTACATGTTATAAGCTGATTGAATCAACTATGTTATCATGTTAAAAATGCTAGTTATGTCAGCTAATCATGATTATCATTCTGGACCGATGAACTCATTCTTTGTTTCAGGCTGTTGACAGTCCAATGTCTAGCTTCACTCACTTCATCTCGCTTCCGTTGGGTATCCACCCACAACTTGTTGATAAGCTGAATGAATTCAAGAGGTCAATCCTGACTTCTAATGAATATAAAGGTAAGGATAGGGACCTAAGTGAAGTTCTATACTTCTATAGTTCTATGGATGAAATGTACTATTAACACAAGCAATTAGAAAGGCCTAGTGTTTCAATAGAATGCAAGTTCAAGCATAGGAGTCTGTCAGAGTAAAAGAGGATAATAAGGGCTTCTGCCCTGGTCTAAAATCTTTGCTGATTTTGCAAGTGCTTTATGTTCCATTTTGGATCCCCCCCCCCCCCCCCCGGATTTCTGGCAACTCTAGAAAGTCCACTTTTGGAACTTCCTAGTGTTGTGTCTGTGTCAATAATTGCATTTTTATATAAGTACTCCACAGCCCACACATGTGTAGGTTGTTTGATGAGGGAACACACGACCGTTTTAGGCTAAATAGAAATAATAGTAAAGAAGTTTATATGCATATGGATTTTTGTAAATACCCTCCAACTCCAATTGCGTGAACAAAGCATAACAGAGAAATTTGAAGATGGCCATGTTCTCATTTCTTTCAGTACAAATCAACTAACTAGGGTATGTTTATGAAGAAAGCAAGATGCGCAGCTTTAGTTTAAGTTGTCAATTCGACAGTTTTGTATCTGAAGTTCTGTTCTTATTCGTAACATACCACACTGTTGATTTTGGAAATGATAGATTCTACTGAATTGCTGATGTGAGATAACTGCACCAGTAGCTTGCTATTTAATAATGAAAATAATAAGGTGAGCTAGTGGAAATTATTGAAGTTTGGTGGGTCAGGAAAAAAGAAAAGAAACTCTTGTTTGCAGAACAAATCTTGTATCTGTATTTCGGTTTCTACATTTTTGTTGTATACCTGTGGCATCTTGGCAGTACTAAATGCATTGCTTGTTATACCATTTCCACATTACAAATTCTACACTCTTCAGCATTGAACTAAGTTTTTTTATCACTTGCAGCTGCAGGTTTCCGCATCGACGAGTCAATATTTGCTATTCCCGAATCACTTCACCTAACGGTTCTTATGTTGGAGCTAAAGGGTGAGAACATTGCTAAGGCTTCCAGTGTGCTCCAGGTATTTTTCATTTTAGGATTATTATGTTATTGCCTGAGACGACAGTAAGGAACTTAATGCGTTACCTGGTGGATGCAGTCAGTATCGGACAAACTAATGGAAGCCTTGAAAAACAGACCTATCTCCATACAGCTTAGAGGTCTGGTAAGTTGCCATTCTTGAACAGTTTTGGCTGTAAGCTCATTTGGGCGTATACATTTGGAAGAACAAATATAGATATTCGAGGCAGAGAACAAAGGATTTGTTCCTGAACACTTTGCTCACCATAGTTTGTTCTGAGAAACGTCCAGTGGTCTTCTGACTAGCTCCACAAGATGGTGGGCTAGCCAACCTGGGTTCGAAGCCTCACCCCTTCTAATTATTTGATATTAGGTCATTTCCTAATATTCGTGTTTTTTTTTCTCACCATAGTCTGTAATCTCCTTTGATAAAGATGCTATTGCTGTGAAGCACATTTTAATTAATACTAGTACCTATTCATAAAAGGTATATGCACCTTTTATCCCACTTTTTCCAATGATTCAAAGTTCCAACGAGAATATTTCATTCCAGGCATGCATGAAAGGCTCACCAGATAAGGCCTGGGTAGTATATGCTCCTGTGCTGGAAGTTGGTGAACAGGGACGCCTACAACAAGTTTGCGGTATCCTTTGAACTTCTAACAAACATTCTTGGGGACATATGATGTGAAAACTCATGTTTTCAATACAATCTTAATTACAAAGTCGCACCTGTACAGTTTGAGATGTCTTACTGATGGAACATGTTTTTTAGGTGGTAGAGGCCCTCATAAATCATGTATTCAACATGTGAGCCATCGCTTAACATACAGCCCACATGAAAAGCTTGCATTTATTGCACTTGTAGTTGATAAATTCCAATCTTTTTTATGCAAAATGTTGTTCCTTCACTTCCTTTTACTTAATCAGACATTATAATTGATGCCTTTACCAGCTCAAACCTAGCACCTACAAGTGATGAGAAGCGAGAACTGAAGGTTAGTAAATACTGCCTCCAACCAAAAATGTATGACGTTGGTTAGTATATTTTTAACTAACCAACATCATACAAAAAGAAACGGATGGAGTATATATATATATATATATATATATATATATATATATATATATATATATATAAGCATTTCTCTCTTTCGTTTCCATGACATCAACATGTACTCCCTCCGTTTCTAAATATTTGACGCCGTTGATTTTTTTAAATATGTTTGATCGTTCATCTTATTCAAAAAAATTAAGTAATTATTAATTCTTTTTCTATCATTTGATTCCTTGTTAAATATACTTATATGTATACATATAGTTTTACATATTTCACAAAAGTTTTTGAATAAGACGAACGGTCAAACATGTGCTAAAAAGTCAACGGTGTCAAATATTTAGAAACAGAAGGAATAGTTTTTCTCTGAAGCTAATAGTTGTTCTGAAAGCTGTATTGTCTACCAAAATCATATTGAAATGGCAGATAACATCTTATTGTCAATAAAACTGTAGTCTAGTTCGACTATTGGATGAGTCTAGAATGCACATTTTGCACAATATTGTTATGTTATATTTTATTTCCAAAAAAACTTTGTTACTAACTTAAGTACTTCCATTATTGTTCTTGATTTTCCTTTTGTGGTTGTTTGGCGAAATATTAAGCATTTTACTGAAACAGCAACATTTGACGCTAAAATTGCCATCCTCTTCTCAAACTGCAGTTGCACGCTACCGTGATGAATGCAAGGTTCAGGAAGGGGTAACACAGTAAATCTTCTCTCTGCATCTTTATAATTCATCGTCTATGTACCACGAGCTTACCTTGACTACCTTGTTCTCTGCAGCTACTGTCCGGATGCTTCATTTGATGCTCGGAAGATATTCGAAAAATACGCGGAACATGAATGGGGCGAATATCTCATTCCCGAGATTCATCTTTGTCAGACACGCAGGTTTGATGAAAGTGGACACTACTACTGCTGCTCTTCGCTTCCCTTGCCCGGGAATATGCAAGCGGAGCGAGCCTCGGAATAACCATTTCATCCCCCAAGGATGAAACTGCGGTTTACTATTACTGAACCAATAATGTGCCATTGTTGGTGTGGCATTCTTGAGTGAGTGAGTTCATATAGGTCTTTTCTTTTGATAGTGGAATAAGCAGCCATGCATAATCCTGTGTGGCAACTCTTCGGTTTTTTTTCCTTCTTAATATGAAGCAGGAGCTACCTGCACTCCTTTATGAGGTTTAGTACCTCAAAAATAATCCTGTATGGTGTTGTAAACCTGTTGTTGGTCTGGACCTTGTACAATCACACTACTGCAAGTTTATTTCTCTGTTGTTTTTACTAATATATCTTCAGTTTGAACTCATCAATCATCTTAGCTCCCATGTGCCGTTTTGCTGCTGTTCTGGGCTGGAGGTAGCCGTGCTATTGCATGTTCAGCGTTCTTGAAATTCTTTTCAAAACTCAATCCATCATTTTGAGAGTGTTTTCGCGGCTGGCTTTCTCACTGGCAGGTGGGCCCTGGTCCTGCATGTCAGTGGGAGCATTGAACCGCAGAAATGAAATGTGATCTCCCCCTTGAAAGCCTTGACTCTTAGAGCTTCGATCACTCCTACGTGATGCTGCCTGTGGGTGTGATGTCTGACAGAGAAAGAACATCACCGGCCTACGAACCAAAATTTGCATATGTATGCAGAAGTGCAGAGAAAAAGACAGGGTTGCAGCTGTATCTTGTTAATTTGGCACCAGGAATTATCTTTTTTTTTCCTGCATCAAAGCAGATGTCAACAGTGCAAAAACATACTATCACTTAGCACAAGAGTGGCCAGAGTATGTGATGAGAGAATCATGTATATAAGAAAAAAGTTGGCAATGTTGAACTTATTAGAATGGCCAATCAACAATAGCACCGGTTCAAGTTGGATCGGAGTAAATTAGCGCGCACTATACAATTACAAAAAGGTCGGTAGCTAAGCTGATGACAAGGAAGAATTTCAAAAAGGAAAATATTAGATTGTAGAATAATTAGTATGAGATGATCACGGCAAGAACAATTTTTCGTAGCTGATAGAAAGAATGAGCTGATAGAAAGAATGAGAGAACCTAAGGCTATAGGCTAACAATTACATAGATTTACTCTACAAAGCACAAAGGTCTATAAAGGTATACGGTCACTAGTTTTTCTTGTCTACAGTTTGCCATCAGTAACAGATATCGGTACCTGAGAGAACCTAAGGCATTCTAATTTGAAGTCAAAATGCACCCTGCAAAATCATTGGTAATGTTAGGTTTAGTCCTACATCGATAATTGATGATGAGGGAGCACGACTTAAAATGTGAGTGTAGTCCTCACCTATCAAACTAGTCTTTTGGGTGTGTAGGCCCAGGATCTAAAGTTGTGGCTCCAGTTGGGCCTGTGGTAGAGCAGGCCCAATGTGACCTGGGTGGCCCACGGTTAGTGGACCAGGCTGCGGACTCTAATAGATAAAATAGCACTCTCATGTTCTAAAATATAAGATTTTTTTTATTGGATAAGACACATACATCTCTTATATTTTAGGATGGCAGGGGTAATAATTAGTTTCATATCAAAATTCATCGATAATGCACAAGTGATTAAAAAATTGAAACTATAAAAGTTTGCGTAGGTTTTTTGGCACTCCTAAAACTACTTAAACCTGCTATTATAAAATTTGTCATTGATGATAAGCACAAGGTCAATTTTACTATTCTTGAAAAAATACCGAGATGTGCACAATTTGGCCTGTTCGTTTCTTATGAAAGTGGGAGATAAACTTTTGGATTAAAATGGCACGCTTTTCAAACGGCTAAACGGCGTGTTTCGTGTGAAAATTTTCTATATGAAAGTTGTTCTAAAATATCAGATTAATCCATTTTTCAAGTTTGTAATAATTAAAACTCAATTAATCACACGTTATTAACACCCTTTTTACGTGGAATACTTAATCTTCATCCTCATCTTTATCTTCAGACATTCAAACACCACCTTTCTAGTGTAAATTTTGATATATCCAGATACTAAATATCGTTCCATATAAAAAAAATAGTGTAAAATTTAAGATACCGTGAGGTACTCTTTCAAGGACCATAAAATTTATCAAAGCACAAACCAAAATAACCCCAAAGCAGTGGGACATTTAATTATTTGCCACATATAGATCTTTATGTGTCTATGATACGTGGACGCAGTGGTAAATCCTTTAGAACCGCCCGTAAGAGTAGCAAATACTTCAGTTAATTATGGCGCCGTGGAGTCGCTGTCGCTCACCTCACCACTAGCGGGCACGGGCAGTCGGGCAGCCGAGCAGGCAGGCTAAACCGGAAGCCGCCGCCGCCGCCGCCGCCGCCGTCTCTGAGCCGCGCGGCCTCCACACCACCCATGTTGGCTTGCGCTTCCCTCGCAAGGTTCGTTATCCCTCTCCCCGCAACAACCTCGATCGAAGGAAGCCAGTAGAAATTCCAATCTTTTCCTCGATCGAAGCGCCCGGATCGTCGGGGGGGTTGCAGCTCCTCTGTCTCTCTCTCTTACCAATGGAGTAATTTATTTCTCCTGTCGTCTTTGCTAGGTTTAGTCGGCTCGCTCGCCCTCTATGCGCCGCGGGTTCCGCGCCGCGCTTCCTCCAGGTCCGATTCCTCTGCCTCCCCACGGTGTTCTCCCCCACAAGAAGCTTCCGGTTGTTTTATTTTTGTTTTGTTTTGTTTCGTACATACATTATTGATACGGATGGATAAATATCTGAGCTAGGGTTTTAGGAACCGATAGAATTTGTTTAGTCTAATTGAACCGCAGTGTGTCAATTGGGAGCTAGTAATGGGGATCTTTTTTTGGGGGATTTTGTTGAGAAAAGTTTATGCCTTGAGGGGCTTATGCTATCAATTGATTGAATCAAGTATGGTTTTGAACAGCTATGCAATTGCCATGTCTCTCTTGAGAAATTCCGTAGCTAATACTTTGTGTTCTACCCTCTGTATCGTGTTCATCTGCTGCGGTATGCTGTGGCGGTCCATGTTTAACTTAATGAGTTGTGTGTAGCACTTGGCCTGGCCTTGAGATCGAATGCCAACCTTGCAGGCCTGAAAATTGTCTAACTCTGCACGGTACCAAAATTTTCAGCACCTTGTTATCTGCTTCTACTAGTTCTTTTAATGCGTTTGCCTTCATCAGAGCTTCTGTGATACATCACCTCAATAGTCAATATGGTGTTTTACATGATAGTACTTTGACCGTGACAGGGATCTGTTAATCAAAATAGTATTCACTCACTTGTAATGAAAGGTGCACAAGGAGCCTCAAATAATTCGGCAAAACACAAGAAAAGAAAGTCTGCTGTGCAGAGATGGAGGCCAATCTCCACAGAAGCCGCTGCTCCAAAAGGTAAGCCCCATTTGCTACTTGCTACTGCTAATACCTTGACTCAAGATCATAGTGCATTCAAACCTGGATATGCCCTAGTCATGATTGGACGCTGCTAATCTATGATGCTGTAAAGATAATATCCATCTATCTCTAAATTTCCTTTCCTTAACTTGTTTGTGTATAGCATTGGGTGGCACTTCTGAATCATCCTATATTCCACATGATGCAGCTGACCTTAATGAGATGTCAGGTCCTGTAAGCAAACAAGTGGAAGAGAATTCAGCCTCAGATGGAACAACTAATGTTGTTATTGAAGTTTCCACCTACAACGCATCCTTGCCAGAAAATAAATTAGCCACAGAAGATACTATGGAGGATGCTAGCTTCAATAAGGACATAGATAGGTCCAATCTATCTGAAAAGTGTTCCTCTTCTGTTCAGGTATGCTCGGTGGATATGTATGACAATTAATGTATCTTTTCCCTGTAAAAAGCTCAATGTATGAGTGATATTTACTTGTATTCTTTTCAAATATTCATGAATTCTGTTCTTTTCTAGGTAGATGCTCCTCTGATGCGCTTTGTGAAAGGAAAAGGGTATTGGTCTCTTGAACCTGTTTCAGATATGCATTATCCTCAACTATCCTCAGTTGAGGATAATGCTGGCCTGTCTCTCTCTGTGACTGAGAATCAATCGTATTCTTTGGCATGCAGTGGAACCATGCAGAAGCAGATTGAAGATGAAACTGGGGTCAAAATTATATTTCCATCTTCTAAGGAGGAAACATGTGTTGGTAAAGATATACTGTTTATTTTTCAAATATGCTTGATGAAATAAGCTGTTGGTAACTTTGGAAGCTAATGTTTGTGCTATATTGATTATTTTCAGTTCTTGAAGCTAAAACTACTGAAGATATTAGAAAGGCTTCAGAGAAAATTGCAAAGGTTCTTGAAGAGGTACACGTGATGCACTTTTTTTAAGATAAAGGAAGCTTTATTGATCTTAAACAATTACATCAAGACAATACAATTACTCTAAGACCAGTCCCAGCCTCTGCATGATTAAGATGCACACGACTTACGATTATTACAAAAGAAAAGCGGCACAACAACAAATATCATGCCGCAGCGAACTACAAACACAAGCGATCTTCATACTTGCACGCATGTGGTGCACTGCTGCAATGGCTTATTATTTCCTGATACTCTGTGCATGTATCTATATTAGGCGTGGGCAGTAAAATCCCGAAGACTGAAAGCCGAACCGACCCGAGCCGAACCGAACCGAAGTGTCGGGTTTTTCAGGCTTCGGTTTATCCTTCGGTTTTTATTCTGCATTTGTTCGGTGTATGGTTTTTTCTGCGGTTTCCAATCCTCACGAACCAAACAACCCGAGAAAACCGAAACCACACGTTCACATCATATCCCAGCAACCCAGCCTGGTAACATGAAAGGCCCAACATCTCCTAAACAAGGCACAGAGCCCATTAGTTTAACACTACTCGTATCTTCTCAAGCGGTCAAGCCTATTCATCGACATCTCGACATCGATCTTTGCACGCGCATGGCTGGATTGGATGGCTACCTTAACGATGCTGCCGCTGCCACTGCATGCGTGGACGATTGCCTCGGGCAGCTGCATAGCTGCCACATGCACACATCACTCATAGCTGGCAGTTTGCTCAGATTGCAAGTTTTATGACTCCTACCATGTGCGAGGGCAGAAAGCAACTTCTCCCCTCTCGATTTTTATGAACCATCTAGCGATTCATTTGATTATCGTGTGCTTCGGAATTCATGGAAGATGTTCTCCCGGTTTGTTCGGTGAAACCGAACAACCAAACCAAACAAACTCGGTTTGTTCGGCTCGGTTTTTTACCTTTTCAATAGATACTTCGGTTAGCATATCTGCAAAACCGAACTTCTAACAAACCGAATAAACCGAGGAAACCAAACGCCCACCCCTAATCTATATTACTATAGCATAATAGTTTGTGGTGCTTATTACACTAACATTCTTATTCATTTCCTCCTGATCATTTAATGAAATATACAAGCTATGATAGTTATGAGTGTCAAAGTTTAAAGGCCTTACTATGTTAACAATAATATATCAAAGCACAAAAATTGATGCAGGATACCTCTTATATTTCTTGCAGTAGCACTAGACTAGTCCAAGTTAAAGTTGTCAAAAGGTGTAAAGTTGTGTCTCCCATCACCAGTGAGCTACTCACAAATATAATCTACTGCCACCTGATTTGATAAAGTCATGTTTGAAATCCTATTTATGTCAGCTAATCATGGTTATCACCCTGGACGGCTGAGCTCCTCCTTTTTATTTCAGGCCGTGAAAAGTCCAATACTAGATTACTCTCACTTCATTTCGCTTCCATTGGCTATCCACCCAAGCCTTGTTGAGAAGCTGAACCACTTCCAGTGCTCAATCCTTGGGACTTCTTCTAATGTAGATAGTGATAAGGGTGAGGACCTAAGTGAAGGTTCTATGGATGAAATTGACCATGAACAGAAGCAAGAAAGGAGCCCTAGTGTTTCAATAAAGATGCAAGCCCATGAGGAGTCTGTCAGAGTTAAAATGGATATTAAGGGCTCCCAACCAGGTCTAAAAGCTTTGCTGATTTTCCTGCTATTTCGTTTTATCGGAGTTTTCCTATTGTCAACTCTATAAAGTCCGGTTTTTGGAACTTTCTATAGTACAAGTCAATTACACAACTAAGAGGGCTGGTGTGTTTGTGAAGAGTTAGATGTGCAGCTCTAATTTTTAATCTGTCAAGTTGGGAAGTTTTGTATTTTAAGTTTTATTTCTTATTTTTAACATTCCACACTGTTGATTTTGGTGGTGAGATTCAAACGATTGTGAGTAATATTGCAGATGTAACATTTTCTAGTATCTCTATGTTTAACAATGTAATAAATAATAAGGCAAGCTAATGAATATTTGAAGTTTGGAATTTAAGAAAAAAAAAAGTTCTCTTGTTTGCCAAGCAAATCTCATATCTGTATTTTGTTTTGTAAATTTTGTTTGTACACCTGTGGCATATTGACGGTACTAGATGCATTGCTTGTTATGCAATTTCCAAATTACAAGTTCTATGCTCTTCAGGCATTGAACTAAGCTTTCTTATCATTTGTAGACTTCGGCATTGACAAGTCAATATTTATTAAACCCAAAACCTTTCACCTAACGGTTCTTATGTTGAAGCTATGGAATAAGGATCGCATTGCTAAGGCTTCTGATGTGCTCCAGGTAATTTCCGTTTCCAGATTATTGTGGTTTATTGTCTGAGATGACAGTGAGCAACTTAATGTGTTACCTTGTGGATACAGTCAGTATCGTCCCAAGTAATGGAAGCCTTGGAAAACCGACCAATCTCCATACAACTTAGAGGTCTGGTGAGTTGCCATTCTCGAATAGTTCTGGCTGGAAGCTCATTCATGCATACATCTAGAATAGCAAATGTAGATAATTCGAGCCAGAGAACAAAATATTTGTTCCTAAACACATTGTTGCTGCAAACCACATTTTAATACCTGTTTATAAAAGGTATCTGTACTGTTTCTCCCACCTTTTCCAATAATTCAAAGTTCCAATGAGAATATTTCATTCCAGACATGCATGAAAGGCTCACCAGCTAGGGCCAGGGTAGTATATGCTCCTGTGCTGGAAGTTGGTGAAGAGGGACGCCTACAACGTGCTTGCAGTATCCTTTGAAATTCTGATGATTGATGAGAAATCAGTCTATTTAATATGGATCTTTAGAATTTCCTAAGAAGCAATCTGTGCTTATAGATGTAACTTGTTAGTATCTGTTAATAAACATTCTTGGTGACATACCAAGTGAAGACCTGTGTTTGTGTACCTCTTGCAGTCACATGTGCACTGTTTAAGATTCCTTTATTGATGGAGTGTTTTTTTTTTTTTTTTTTGGGGGGTGGGGGGGTGGGGTTTAGGTAGTAGGAAGCCCTCATAAATCATGTATTCAACGTTTGAGGAGGGTACTGTAAAAAATAGTCGTGGTATTACTATATTAGGTTTTCATGACTGTAATGTATCCATCACTTAACATACTGCCCACATGACAAGTTTGCATAATTGCACTTACATTAGATGAGTTCCAATCTTCTTTATGCAAAATGGTTCTCCTTCACTTCCTTTCACTTTATCAGAAGTTATAACTGATGCCTTTGTCAAGTCGGGCCTAGTACTTGAAAGGGATGCGAGGCAAGAATTGAAGGTTAGTAAATATATATCAAAGCACTGTTCTTGTTAGCTTCATTGACATCGGCATGTAGTTCTTTGAAGCTAATTGTTGCTATGAAATCATTGGCAGCAGCGTTGTTCACTAAAAGCATATTGAAATGGCAGTAGCATCTGCTTGTTGATAACTGTAGTCCAGTTTGATTTCAATGATGAGTCTGAAATGCACATTTTATTTCTTATTTCTAGAAAAACTTCATGATTAACTTCAGCACTTCCATTACTATTCTGGACTATTTTTACAATTGTTTGAGGGAAATGTTATGCATTGCTCTGAAACAGCAATATTTGATGCTAAAATTGCTGTTTTCTTTTCAACTTCAGTTGCACGTGACCATAATGAATGTGAGGCACAGGAAGAGGTGATTCTCTCTTCATCTTGATAATTCATGGTCTATGTACTGCCGGCTTAACTTGACTACCTTGTTCTCGCTGCAGCAAGAGATGGAACCAAAGAAACGACTCATTCGATGCTCGGAATATTTTCAGAAAATATGGGGAACATGACTGGGGCGAATACCTCATTCCCGAGATCCATCTTTCGCAGCGATTCAAGTTCGATGAAAGAGGGTACTACTACTGCTGCTCTTCAATCCCCTTGCCTGCGGCGGAGATGCAAACGGAGTGAGTTTCATAATAAACACATTTTCAGTGTTTTCAAATCTTTCACCAGTATCATCATCCCATTAGGACGACTTCGCGGGTTACTGTTGCTGAACCAATAATGTGCCATGTGTTGTGCTTGTTTTGTTCTGGAGTGTGGCATGCTCAGTCTACTCGGTTGATATAGGCCTTTCTTTTGATAGTGGGATAGCCGGATAGGCAATTATGCATCATGCTGTGGACCTATGGTGTTGTCAATGGCAGTGGGCTCCTTGGAGTGGTTGATGTAAGTTTCTGGTCTGGCCCGTGTACAATCACGCCTGCAATTTTCTCTGTCGTTGCCCTGAGTTTCAACTCTACCAATCATCTTATTTAGCCCAGTAGAGTGAGTACGCTGTTGGTCTCCTCTACTGGGCTAAATTTTGTACAAGTGCTTTTGCGCTATTTGTATTTTGTCGTTCTAATCCTCTTGACTCGGATTGAAAATGGTCACAGAAATTCCTGATTGATCCAGCGCCGTTTCTAAATAAATGGTAGCGTTTCCTATTCTAGCCATATATATATATATTTTTTATTTTTTAAAAATTTCTTTCAGCGTATTGTTGTTGACATTGAATAGTTAAATTGATAAATGTGGTCAATTCCTGACCTTCCGAGAACGTTTCCAAAGAGATGTTACCATCTTGTGTGTCTCACTGGTATGTGGCCTTGCTCCCGCGTGTTGGTGAGAGGGCATGCATATGGTAGCAGCAAATGAAGAAGCAAAATGTGATGTCATCGTTGATTCTCTTGACAAGAGATAGAGATCCAACCCATCCTACACTATGTGCTGCTGTCTGTTGGTATGCGACTGTGTGACAGAGATGGAACATCACCGGCCTAGTTGCCCGTAGAGCTCCCTTTCCATTTTGTCTTAGATCCAGGCTTTATTTATGTTGTGTCAAATGTGTGACCCAGGCGACAAAAGTGTGCACGAAAAGCAGCTTTGTTTCCATCCAAAATTTCCTGTCCAAAACGTAAGGATACTACTAGGAAAACGATTTTCACAGACGAGATTCATTTCACGAATCGTAGACGAGAACTATTTCACTAAGAGCATACTTAATGAATATAGACTACCTTAGTATTATGGTGGGATCCACTAAAACATGTTATCATGTCCACAATGTATATGTCAAGAGTGGATATTAAGGTGGACCCTACAAACCCAAGATTAGCCATTGAGAGAGGGAGAGAAAGTAACACTGCCATGAGAGAGGAAGGAGTAATATAATTTTTTATTCCTTGTGGGTGGTTTTTATACATATGGCTAGCTCAAGCAAATGCCACCTATAAGAACTACTCTCACAATATATAAGGTTCACTTTAGAGGCTTAAGGTCTACTCTTATGTTCACATTGTGGCTGCCCTAAGTAGACGGGGCGAAACGGAGAGTGTGTGCGCCACACAACGGTGAGGATTTGGATGGACGACGCCATCCATCGCAGCTTCACCCTCCTGCGGTGCATGTCCGGTCAATGTCAGCCTCACTGACCATGGCGCAATATAATGGCAGCTTCGTGATAGTTAATTGACAGGTGGTGTTTGGATTCAGGGACTTAACTTTAGTCTATGTATTTAGATACTAATTTAGAGTATTAAATATAGACTACTTACAAAACTAATTACAAAAATGAAAGCTAATTTACGAGACAAATTTTTTAAGCCTAATTAATCTAGGAGTATAATTAGAGAATGTTTACTGTAACATCACATAGGCTAATCATGGATTAATTAGGCTCAATAGATTCGTCTCGTGAATTAGTCCAAGATTATGGATGGGTTTTATTAATAATCTATTTTTAATATTTATAATTAGTATCCAAACATCCGATGTGATAGGGACTTAAAAGTTCTAGTCTCATCTAAACAGGGTCTGATCCATTTGTTGCCAATATGGTCTCTGACTTGAGAGAGACTGCCTAGCCATACGATTATTATGTGTAGTTGTATTGTAGTTTCAGGAAGAGTAGCTTTGACAACTTGGGAGGCTGAGCTATGTACCAAAATATAGCTATTTCTTGAGTTTTTAGTAGCTTTCATAAATATTAAGGAGAGGGGTTAACTAAATATATTGTTCTTTATTAATTGTTCCGGTCGATAGGAAGCATGCCAGGTGAAGGGTTGTGGAGATGAGAGGCATTTTAAACATTTAATCACACAAACACCTCTTGCACTTTTAGAAGTATAGTTACTCCAATATAAGTGGCGTGGTAGCATGCTGACGTGGCTACATGTCTTCTGTAACGCCGGTGCATGTTGTTGTTGTATAACATGGTTAATTGGCCACGCCAACAAAAAGATTCAGATTTTAAAATAAAGTTTGAGGGGGACCTTTTTTTTAAAAAAAATATTAAAACAAAAGGGTTTAAATAATAAAAATATCACATACCACCTACTTACTCCTGATCCATTGAAAACTTATCTCCTCACGCAGAGCTGCTAGTGCGCGCACGTACACAGCAAATGCCTTCTCCGTCTTTGTATGCCACCACAAATCCACAATATATATGCATGCTGCTGTCAGTGTGGTCTCTCGTTTTCTGCCTCGAAAATGACCGGAGACATTGGTGTTTTCTCCGGTGTTCTTTCGATCTCACCACACAATATATCGAGCAATCCGTTCGTGAACGATGAAACCCAATCGGATAATACATGGTTCGCACGAACTGCGGGTAGAGATCGCCGAGATTGAGCGGAGTGACGCATGGTTCTTGGACGACGTCGATCTGCTAGTGCTAGCCCGATCGGTCCTGTAAATTAATTGCCCGTTCGCACTATAAAAAAGCATTTTTACGTACGGTAAAAACTATTTTTTTTCATGCAACTGTCTGCATGGAAAATAACGATTTTTTCATGCGGGTGACACATCCGCATACGAAAATTCGTTTTTTTTCTTTTTTACATGTGAACACAGTGCGCATGTTGTTCTGTTTGATGTTGCCCACTACGGTCTTTAGTTTGCAAGCACGCCTGTGTCGGCAATTGGACATGCTGCATGATTATTGTATTACATATTATTTCTTATTGCAATAATTCCAGTTTCTCTTGGCATTTGGCTGGACAACTCGAGGATGCTATAAAATATGTTCGTTGTAACCTGGACACAAATCTGTATGTAAGCTGTAGGTTGATAAATATTAGCTAGGCTTACTGAATATAATAATTTTATGTATCAATTTATTCCATCACCTCATTCTATGCTCGCTAAAACATATACCATTGCTTGTTTGAGTTGTATTATCAAATGTTACCGTAGTGTTAGCACAGATAAACTACTTGTGTGTTTCAATTTAAGGGCTTCTTTAATTTGTAGGAATAACATTATGGAGGACTTTAATCCTATGAAAAAATTTTCTATGAACGTCTTTGATACAGAGGATTGAATCGTGCCTTATCCTTTAAAATTAATATGGAATAGATAATTCTGTAGAGATTTTAGAGAAAACTTATTAAGAGCGTCAATCTCGAAAAATTTTCATTGAGCGTCAATCTTTTCATACAGTCTAATCAAACGAACATTCATATGTATTTCATGCGTTTTGCAATCCTCTGTTTAACATTTGTATTTCTATCAGAATTCTTTATTCCTTCGTTTTTTTTCATTCGTGGGATTAAAACGTCCCTAAGATAATATGTTTTGAATCTAACGTTTGGCTACCGATCGACGAAAAGCACGTTCTATTTTTCTCATCGCCTCACCATGTTTAGTTTCTCTAGTCACCAACCTTGCTAGCACTATATATCTAGGCGTCAATTGATACACTCCAGCATCCAACTCACCATCTCCTCCTGTCCTCCCTCGCGGGAATCACCTCACCTAGCTAGCTTGCGAGTGACACGTCACCCACACGCACGCACGCACGTACGGCGCGGACATGGCGAAGCTCGCGCTCGGCCACCACCGCGAGGCCACCGACCCCGGCTGCCTCCGCGCCGTCGTCGCCGAGCTCCTCCTCACCTTCCTCTTCGTCTTCTCCGGCGTCGGCTCCGCCATGGCCGCCGGTAACCTGCCTACTTCATTTCTTCTCCTAGTTTTTCTTCTCATCTCAATCAAGATCGACATTGTCGTCCTTGCGTCGGTGCAGCCAAGCTGGGCGGCGGCGGCGACACGATAATGGGGCTGACGGCGGTGGCGGCGGCGCACGCGCTGGTGGTCGCCGTCATGGTCTCCGCGGGGCTGCACGTCTCCGGCGGCCACATCAACCCGGCCGTCACGCTCGGCCTCGCCGCCGGCGGCCACATCACCCTCTTCCGCTCCGCGCTCTACGCCGCCGCCCAGCTGCTCGGCTCCTCCCTCGCCTGCCTCCTCCTCGCCGCCCTCACCGGCGGCGAGGAGGCCGTCCCGGTGCACGCGCCGGCGCCCGGCGTCGGCGCGGCGCGCGCCGTGGCCATGGAGGCCGTGCTCACCTTCTCCCTCCTCTTCGCCGTCTACGCCACCGTCGTCGACCGGCGCCGCGCCGTCGGCGCGCTCGGCCCGCTCCTCGTCGGCCTCGTCGTCGGCGCCAACATCCTCGCCGGCGGGCCCTACTCCGGCGCCTCCATGAACCCGGCCCGCTCCTTCGGCCCGGCCCTCGCCGCCGGCGAATGGGCCGACCACTGGATCTATTGGGTTGGGCCTCTTATAGGTGGGCCTTTGGCTGGGCTGGTTTATGAGGGCCTCTTCATGGGCCCGCCCGGCCATGAGCCGCTTCCTAGGAATGACGGCGACTTCTAAGTTAATTAGGCCTTAATAATAACTTTGATCTCGAGCTAGTAAAAATAATGAATGTATGAGAAGTGATTGGTTTTTAGGTGCATGTAATTTCTACTCGTTTGGATTATTGAATAAGAATTTTAGGTTAAATAATTAGCATTTGGGCTAGATTTGGTTCTGGGTCAAGCCTTCCATTGGTTGGGCTAAGAATGCTTAAAAGGGCAGGTCCGGCTTGGACTGTGAAATTGGGCCGTCTTTATCACTCTCTATTTGAGTTTCCTGTACTACTAGTATGAACCAATGTTGTGCCATTTGATTTTTTTTTTCAAAAAGATGCCATTTTTTAAAAAGAAAGAACTGCAGCTATAAGCCTATATGCTATTTCTTCAATACTATAATTTCATTTCGCGTAAAACGGTGGAAACATTTAATGAAGGCCGTATATATAGTTGAGCAATCGGAATCGGTCTTGATAGTCCCTGAAGAACATTGACGAGCTATAGAGGTGTCACCGTGACACCGTGTCAGTGAAAAAGGAGAATTCCTCATATCGATTTGTCCGCACGCACCGACGCACGGGCTGATCCAACAGCTGAGCTAAACGGAGACGGTCCACCACTCGATTTTCGTAGATAGCATTCGTTTATACTGGAGATAAAGTTAAAACATGGAAAACAAAACGTTAATACATGATTAATTGATTTTTAGTTGTTATATTATTTTTAAAAAGAAATTATATGCTGATTTAAAGCAACTTCTATAAAAAATTTCGAAGAAAATGAATCGTTTAGCGGTTTAAAAAAATTCTAACGGAAACCAAAATATACTACTCCGTCCAAAAAAAACTAATCTTAGCAATCAATCTGAACACGCATGTATCCAGACTCGTTGTTAGGATTAGGTTTTTTTGACAGAGGGGTACATCTTAATTAGATAAGAACGAAACATTGCTACTGCACTTAACCTGGATTTTTCATATTTTGGTCCTTTTAAAAAACTTATTTCGCAAATAGACCCCTGGAAAAAGTTATCCTAGAAATGGTCCTTTTTGGGGCGCCAGAGTGGCTGGCGCCGTCGTCCAACTGGACGGCGTCAGCTTCTCTGGCGCCGTCTCCCTGCCGACGTGGCGGGGCGATGCTGAGGTGGCTAGGGGGAGCGCGCCAGAGTGGCTGGCGCCCCTCCCCCCTCCCCCGATATTTTTTATTTTTCTTTTATTTTTTTTATATTTTTTCACTCTTAGGGACACATAAGAACCAACCATAGAAAAAATGAACTCAAATGGACGCAATATGTGACCTGTAGAATTTTTCCTCTCCTCTCCTCTCTCCGAACTAGTGCAAAGGAGAGAGATGTGCAACTTTTTTATTTTTATTTTATTTTTTTTTTGATATTTTTTTCACACTTACGAACTCACAAGAACCAACCATATAAAAAATAAACTCAAACGGACGAAATATGTGGCCTGTGGAATTTTCCAAAGCTCTACCGAAAAACTTCTCTCCTCGAAAACACAATCTTGCAAGCGGAATTCGGAGGTTTTAATATCGTCGAACCCGGATATGTATGTCAGTGGATATATTATTTTCCTGATTCCGAGTCCGTATGAGAAAGTTACGCATATTTTAATGAATGACATATTTTGTCCATTTCGGTAGAGTTTTGAAAAATTCTACAAGTCACATATTTTGTCCGTTTGAGTTTATTTTTTATATGGTTGGTTTCTATGTTATCCTAAGTGTGAAAAAAATATCAAAAAAATGAAATAAAAATAAAAAAAATTGCATCTCTGTATATTGTTTAACTTATGGCTATCATTTCATGTGGTTATATTTTGAATTAAATTAAGTAATTTCATATAGTGATAGAGTGAATTATGTGTAACATGTTGATCAAAGGGTTTTACTAAAGGAGTTATGGTCTAATTTTAGTGAATGTGCAAAGTAGACTAAGTGGTATGCTAGCTATTTTCAGACTTAGCTAAGTGGTAGTTCGAGTTTAAATTTTTTTTGTGGTTGGTTGTATCGTGATCCTAAGTGTGAGAAAACATCCGAAAAAATAAAACAAAAATGATACTGTTGCAACTCCATACAGAGAAACAGGAATGGAGGCGAGGGGTGGGGGGCGCCAGCCATGCTGGCGCCCTCGTCCTGCCACGTCGGTTCGCGTGTGCCACGGTGGCAGGAGGACGGGCGCCGTCCCGTTGAATGACGGCGCCAGCCACTCTGGCGCCTCAAAAAGGACCACTTCTGGGATAAGTTTTTTCAGGGGTCTATTTGCGAAATAAGTTTTTTAAAAGGACCAAAATGTGAAAAATCCAGGCACTTAACAGCAGAAGGACAGGACATGAAGCACATGCAGCGGCCTCAAAAAGGACCACTTCTAGGATAAGTTTTTTTAAGGGTCCATTTATAAAATAAGTTTTTCAGAAGAACCAAAATGTGAAAAATCCAGGCACTTAACAGCAGAAGGACAAGACATGAAGCCCATGCAGCCAAATTGGCCTATCCGGTTGCTGTCAGCAGTAATCTAGCTCCAGTGGAGAGTGACACGACGATCACCAGTACTCGAAGCATATTCTTTTTTTTTTTTTGAACATTGAAGCTTATTCATTCGTGCAGCTATTACTACTACTCCATCTTGCATCGATTGGTCGATCTCGCCGAGCTCCGAAACAATCAAAGACTGATATCTCAACAAGATACACTGTAGTCTATAGTACTACTATGTTACTGTATATCAGCTTCCGACAAGTTGGAACAGGTTAATTAGTGCCTGACAACGAGATTACGATCGAGAACGTCACTAGACCGACGTCGAGATCGAAAGAATTCAACTGAGTGGAAGCAGAGACGTGCGAGCAAGCTTGAGTACGAGGAGCGCGACTCACTGGATTCAGATTCAGAGAACTCAACAGAGTGGAAGCAAAACGTCAGAATATTTCTTGTCCCTTTCCATTTTCATTTTCATTTTCGTATTCCCTTTTCTTCCTTTCAATCTTTGGAGAGAAAATTGAGATTATTTGCATCTGTCTGTCTGCTCTCCTGGCCTTGGATCAGTAGGAGGAAAGGAAAAGATCAATCGATTTGAGCAATCCTGGTTCGACAGATGGCAAGTTTACCTGGTCATCGTAATCAGTTTATTTGCTCGGAGACAAATCACAGTGAGGTCCACTAAGGTGTCATATGTCATGTAGTCACCTCTGCATTCTGTCCTGAAGATTGGCTCCAGAGTTGCATATTCACAAGAAATTCAGTTCTACTACTAGTAGAGGAGAGGGTGTAACCAACTCTATCAGCGACACGCAACCTGATCGATTCCCCTGCAATTTATACAGATCGAATGGCTTTGCTTGCTCAAATCTGGCAGATCACGATGTTCACCGCCCAAAAGACGTCCTTGCCGGCATACATGGATAACGGCGACAATGTTGCATGTAGAAGAAAGCAAGCAGAGAGAGAACGGAGATTGAGATGGTCGGAAATTTAAACAAGACGCTTTCTTGTCTTTCGAGAAGTAATTAAGAGACATATCGCTAAGTACATAATACTACTACAATTTGGTGTGACAGTGTGCACATGTTCGTGCAGGCCGCAGCTGATCGATGCGTGTACGTGCATGTACAGCTCCTCCTTTGCAGTAATCCAGTGCGTCGATGCAGAAATTTCAAGCTCGCCATTATGAGCTTTCTTGACTTGTATGAAAAACATATCTGATCATCTCCTCTCAATGCTCTCACTATATATAAAGCTTGTTAGCCTTTTTCCTTTTTGTCCATGGAAAAAATGGTTCCCAACTTTCCACCGATCGCTTAGCTTAGCTAGCTAGCTTTAGTGGCTTGTCTCGATCGATCATCTATTCATCTTATTGTCGATCAGAGACCAACCATTTCGGCATATCGTTCGATCTATCGCCTAACTTTGCTGCTAGCTAGCCATATATATTTGGATTTATATTGTTGTCAAATACTATATCAGATTGATCGATCGGTGATCGGTCTATGCCGTTGCTGCCGATGACGAAGCTGGAGCTCGGCCACCGCGGCGAGGCGTGGGAGCCCGGCTGCCTCCGCGCCGTCGCCGGCGAGCTCCTCTTCACCTTCCTCTTCGTCTTCATCGGCGTCGCCTCCACCATCACCGCCGGTAAATCGCTCACGACTCTCTCTGTACTAAAATATAAGATATTTTAGGTCAAGTTTTTATTCGTCTTTGTTATTACAAGAACAACATTAATCGATTGTGTATGATGAGTATATCCGTATTTACCACGTGCGGTTAATTATTTTTTTTTTCAGGGAAGGCGGCGGGTGGGGCCGGCGAGGCGGCGGCGGTGACGGCGGCGGCGATGGCGCAGGCGCTGGTGGTGGCGGTGCTGGCGACGGCGGGGTTCCACGTCTCCGGCGGCCACCTCAACCCGGCCGTGACGCTCTCCCTCGCCGTCGGCGGCCACATCACGCTCTTCCGCTCGGCGCTCTACGTCGCCGCCCAGCTCGCCGGCTCCTCCCTCGCGTGCCTCCTCCTCCGGTGCCTCACCGGCGGCGCCGCCACGCCGGTGCACGCGCTGGCCGACGGGGTGGGCCCCGTCCAGGGCGTGGCGGCGGAGGCCGTGTTCACGTTCACGCTGCTGCTGGTGATCTGCGCCACCATCCTCGACCCGAGGAGGGCGGCGCCGCCGGGGACGGGGCCGCTGCTGACGGGGCTCCTCGTCGGCGCCAACACCGTCGCCGGCGGCGCGCTCACCGGCGCGTCCATGAACCCGGCGAGGTCGTTCGGGCCGGCGCTGGCCACCGGCGAGTGGGCCCACCACTGGGTCTACTGGGTCGGGCCGCTGGCAGGTGGGCCCCTCGCGGTGGTGGCCTACGAACTCCTGTTCATGGACGTGGAGGACGCCGGTGGGGCCCACCAGCCGCTGCCGCAGGAGTGAAGTGAAGCCGGGGAAGGCGCGCTCACGTGAGGTCCACGTGGCTTCGGGAGATTGCACGGCCGTGTGCGTGCGTTTTCGGCCGTTGATTGGTGTAATCTCCAGATGGAATTATTTTTGTACGTTTGATTTTTTTTTCCATTTTGTTTAAAAAAAATGGGAGGCGTGCGTGTAAATTTGGGGTTTTTTTTTGTGTGTATGTGCCGGTACAAGTGAGGTTTTGCTCGTTGAAAATATGATGAATAATACGTATTTCAAATATTGTTCGTGTCTGATACAATAACATATATGAGATGAGTCTCTTCTACAGTACTTTCCTTTGGCGTGAGTCAATGACATATAGGCTCGCTAAACATGAAGCCAATATATCATACACGAACAATATATTAACCTGCTGGAAGTGCAAAGCTCAATGTAAATGCAACTTACATAAGTGAAACTGGTGAAGCAAGTGCTAGGATTATCATTAGAGATTGCAGGGGGTTAGTGCTCTTGGCTGTGTATAAAACTCTGCACCAGTGTACCTCAGCAGCTGAAGCAGAATCTTTAACATGCTTAGAAGGGCTAAAAGAAGCAATGAAGTGGATTCATATGTCGATTATTCTGGAACTAGACAACGCTGAAGTTGTTCAGGCGTTAACAAAGCAGGTGGCCTCAAGATCCTCTTGGGCGATGACAATTGCAGAAATCAACAGTGTGATACAATGTATCTAACGGGTGCAAGTGCACAAGATTAAGAGAGAAGCAAATAGGGTTGCTCATGTTTTAGCGCAAATGGCAATGAGTATTAGGTCGTGTGGGGAGTGGAGGTTGTGTGCCCCCTCACCAATCCTAGACTTGTTAAACCAGAAATGTAATTGTGGCCCGGAGACACGGTCGAAGCATGCTCGCACCGTGTGCGTCTTTCACCACATGCTCTGGTCCCGGGTTTCTTCCTGTGGTCTTCTAGCGTTAGAAGAAGTCATCTGCAACGTCCCCTCACGCTGTTTTTTGGGGGGACAAACAAAGATCAGGAAAAGACAGACCGAACCCATTCGGTGACTTTCGCGGTCATCCTCACTGAACCGACTTGGATCTGAACTACGATTCAGATCAAGTCTTACCGAAATTTGATTTCCTTTTCATGCCATATGTTGTTTAGACTTTACTTTTTCCCCCTTTCTGTCCTTTCCTCTATTTGGTTGATAGGGTCTTCGTTCTATTCTAATTCTAAACCCATTGTCGTCCACAGTTTTCTTGTCAACGCGAAGGGGCAAGCAGCCCCCAAACAAAGAACTCATACCGCGGTTGTGGCTTGAAGGCCTCGCTATTTAGCCATTAATAAAGTTTCTCTCTTACCCTAAAAAATATCAGTCACTTTTTTCAATTCTAAGTGGGTTATTGATGTTGATCGAGGATGATTTGGTGGATAGCATCGTGCCAGTAATCAACTATCAACATTATGCATACATGACGACGGTGCAATGGGACTATCATTTGTGCGACGTATATATACTACGGTTTGGTATGCTATTATTGACTAAAAATTGGGCAACAAAACTTTCGATTTTTCGATTTGTCTTTGCGGAGGAGAAAAATTCTAATGGCCGCACGATGTACTTGCGTACGTTTTTTTTACACATATATTTTATACACTCTATAGCTATACAATATGGGAAGGGCCTACGTGTCGGACACCCGATGCTTTGGGGAAAAATCGGGCGCTGACGTCATCCGATTTACGTGCAAAAACTATTTTAAACTGATTTTTCTCAAAAATTACTTATCCAAATCATGATCCGATTGCACCATTAAATTCGTTATAATTAAATCTTCAAAACAAGATCACACATGGATATATTCCGACGAAATTTTTTTTAGCTTATTATTGAATTATTTTTAAATGTTGCACGATGTTCCACCGGGTATATCGGAATTGTTTTACTAAGTAGATCGGAAATGTTTCACTCGTTTAAATCGGGTGTTGTTTCACCTTATATAAAAACAATGTTTCAGCAAATAGCGAAACAATGTTTCAGTTCACTGTAACATTTGATCCATACATAGTGAAACATTATAAGTACACTAGATGAAATATTTTCGGTAGAAAAAAAAATAAAACGAATTTCCTTAATAGGGGGTTTCTAAAATATGTGGGTTTTTTTTGTTGCAATGGAGTATTTCAGTTCACTGCAACATTAGATCTATACATAGTGAAACATTGTGAATACACTAAGTGAAACATTTTTGGTGGAACAAAAAATAAATCAAATTTCCCTTAATAGGGGATTTCCAAAATATGTGAGTTTTTTTTTTTGCAATAGAGTATATGGTGAAGATATGTGGCAAGTAGTAAGGACACATGGTGGGTGTCAGGGTTATGGATACCACATACCTAATAGTAGTCGACTAAATCTCGGCAGGACCCACCACATACCGTGTCCTATACGGAAACAATCTTCGGATATAGGAGGAGTTCCGATAAGGAAAGGCAACCAAAGTTCTACATGGAAACGATGAGAACTACTCGGATTGTATCCATATTGGTTTCCCTAGTTCTACTTGGACAAGGGAACACCTATGGGTATAAATAAAAGCCCCCCTAGGAGGAGAGGGGGCGATTAACGGAGGATCAACACTCAACACAATCAACATAGAGGCCTACATACGCCAAGACACGCCGCCGGATATTGACTTCAGGGATAAGCACGGCTAGTACCCTACGGTGTCTCCGGATACTGTCAGGAGAGACAAAAACGCTATCTCTGATCTCGCCGGGCACGGATTCGAGGAGGAAGGCTACCCTGTTGTCGACTACGAGTCAGATCGTCAGACCGCCATGTCGACAACAGTTAGATGGGCTACCCCAAATATTATACTGGTGTGATTATCATGAATAAAAGCAATACCGGCTTCGGCCAACAGAATGTACGGTTATTACCTGATAACTTAGGGGCCTGAACCTGTATAAAAATCCCTGTCTCCGTCTCTTTTACCTCAGTCTCGCGTATATCCTAACACCAACGATCCCCATACTGTCCAAATACCGTAGTCGTGACATCAAACGTCGACAGTGGGGTCCCAGTAGAAACACATGGGCACGTCGTGGAGGGAGGGGGGAGCGCCCGATTTTCTCCTCCTCCTCTGGGCGACCGAGCGGCAGCATTTTCGTACAATATGAGTATACTACAGTCTACACTTATATTTGACTTTTTTTTGCGGATTTTCTAAGGAAAGTTATATATCTCGTCGTTGTATTTGGTGTTTGCGGTACTCATGCTTTGTGTATACGGAGTACTCCCTCCGTTTCGAAATGTTTGACGCCGTTGACTTTTTAGCACATGTTTGACCGTTCGTCTTATTCAAAAAATTTAAGTAATTATTAATTCTTTTCCTATCATTTGATTCATTGTTAAATATATTTTTATGTAGGCATATAATTTTACATATTTCACAAAAGTTTTTGAATAAGACGAACGGTCAAACATGTGCTAAAAAGTCAACGGCGTCAAACATTTCGAAACGGAGGGAGTATTTCGTAGCTCCATAATATGGGAAGAAGAGGAACATAAATACGTAATCATGCTTTGCGTTGACATTTAGCCGGAGAAGTCGATTTAATTACACCCCCGCGCCTGTGCAGATCGAGGAGAGGTCCCCCGGCTCCGTATATTCGTCTAATGACTTGCTGGGCCGCCCTTTGCCATGGGCCAAGCCGTACATTGCCTCTGCCCTTTTGGAGTAATTTCTTGTGCAAGTGTGTGCGATGGGACAACATGACAAGGCTGTACGCGTACCTTCTAAATCTAGCCTGGCTCCAGAGACCTGGACCGTCCAGCCCAGCCCACAGGTGCGTCCTTATATGCTCTGGTCCACCAACCATGTGCGCGTGGGCCGTACGGCACAGAGGGAGACCAATTGGCCCTTGCCCCCACACGATCTCACTCGTCTCTTCCAAACGACCCTATGTCCTGTTTTGGGAGCTTAAAATTCTGAGAAACAACCGGTGAGAAGCTAGCTGGTGAGAACCTGGAGAAGCTGGAAAACATAGCTTGTGATTTCTAGTTTATTTTTTGGATTCTACAACTACGGATTCTTAGAATTCGAGTGAAAATCTGGACTGTCTAACAGTAGTGGCTTCTAAAAGAATCTTCGGCAGGCAGAAGCTATCCAAACAGGCCATATAGTGGTGAAACGTACTTATGTTACTACCACTACTATTTACCAAGCAATTCAACACTGTAGAAATTGAACAAAAAAAATTAATCATCAGCTGGAGGAACAGGACTTGCTAATTAACCACGATCAAGACCGAGCTGGTTAATTAATTTACCATGCATGGCCGTCATGGCCGCCTCCTCGTCGTCGTCGTCGAGATGTACGGTGTCACCCTCGGCTCGTCCGCCGCTTCTCCACCCACACCGGCGACAGCACCGGCGTCGCGCCGAGCCCGACCACCACCTCCGCCTCTTCCTCGGCGACCACCGCCGCCGCCGCCGCCGCCTCGTCCCTCGCCTCCGTGTCGACCTTCCCTGCAGCTGTCGACATCGTCTCCGCCGCGTCCTCCTCGCCGACGACGACGTCGACGTCGTCGTCGTCCAGGTCATCCTCGTCGTCGTCTTCCTCCTCCTCCTTCCCGACGACGCGTATCCTCCACACCTTGACGCTCTTGTCCAGACCGGCGCTGTACACCACCATGCTCCCCTCCACATCGCCGGCCTCGCCGCCGCCCACCGCCAGGCACCGGACCGGCCCGCGGTGGCCCTCGATCACGGCGAGGCAGGTGTGCGACGTGCTCCCGCCCTTGCCGTCGCGCCGCCACACCCGCATGGTGGCGTCCTCCGACCCGCTCACCACCACCCGGCCGCCGCAGCCGGAGGCGAGGCAGAAGACGGCGAGGCGGTGGCCCTTGAGGAAGCCGGCGTGCGCCGGCCGCCCCGCGCTCGCCTCCTTCTCCCACACGTTGACGTACCCGTCGGAGGAGCCGGCGTAGAGGAAGCACCGGCGGGTGGCGCCCGTGGCGGCGGCGGCGTGGCAGAGCGTCAGCGCGTTCACCGGCGACAGCTCGGAGCGGAGGGCGATGATGAGGGCGTGCGTGGTGCCGCCGTACACGCGCCGCCACATCTTGACGGTGCCGTCGGCGGAGCCGGTGAAGATGCAGCCGTCGGCCTCGTTGATGAGCATGGCGTTGATGGCGCCGTCGTGGGCGACGAACGAGTCGGCGCAGCTGCCGTCGGAGAGCTTCCACGCCTTCACGGTGTGGTCGTGCGACGCCGTGTAGAGGAGGCCCGCGACGGCGTGGAGCACCAGGCACGACACGGTGTCGCGGTGGTGCGGCGGCCGCCGCTTGGTGAAGGAGAGGATGCCGCCCTTCGCCGGGAGCGTGGCGGCCTTCTTGGCGCGGATGTGGTCGCACACGGCGGAGGCGCACACCGTCCACACGCGGACGTGGTGGTCGCGGCTGTGGGAGGTGACCAGCGTGCCGCCGCACGCGGCGATCGCCGGGACGCGGCCGCGCCCGACGTCGAGGTACCCGCGGTTGAAGCACCCGGGCGCCGCCCACGCCCGGACGCGGCCGCTGTCGGACGCCGTGAACAGCACCCCCCTCGCCACGGCGAGCGCGTGCACGTCGCCGTCGAGCCGGTGCAGCGCGGAGAGGCAGTGGTAGATCGCCGCCGGCGACGGCGGGAACCGAACCCTCCCGTGCAGCGGCGACTGCACCCACGGCGAGCACATCCCCCCGACACCACCACCACCACCACCACCTCCCCCAACTCCGACCAACCCCGGCAGCTCCACCCCATGCACCGACGAGAGGCTCAGCCTCGGCGGCGTGTGCGGCGCCGCCTCCCTCGCCGGCGACCGCGCGTAGTGGTGGTGCACCGGCGTCCGCGCCGCCGCCGTTGGCCGCGCCTTCCAGTCCTCCTCAAAGAAGCTAAAGCTCTTCCTCCTCCCAAACTCCATGACTAGCTCTACCTCCCTGATCCTCTCCCTGCACCACTAAACCTCCAGCTCAGTACTCTACCACCTACCACCACGATGACGACAACAATGGCGACGACGACGACGACGACGACGAATTGATCGCATCCATGCTAGTAGCTAGCTATACTGCCCACCAACGCCACGTTAAATCGAGGTATAAATCGAGGTCGATGAAACGAAGGAGTGGTGGATGGGCGAGCTAGTCGTCTACGTGGACGGCGAGGATATGCAGCGGCGCGCGGTGGTGGTGGTGGGGTACCACGGCGGGAGCGCCATTACTCGCCGGAGTTAAGGGGGGCGGAGTAAATGGCGCGTACGGTACGAGGTGGGAAGATATGGGCAAAGAGAGGGTAAAGATCTCGATGTATATCGCGTGCACATGCGTGTACTCGCCGGAGGTAAATATGGCCACGGCCACGGCGGCCATGGCTGGCCGGCGGCGAGCGAGGACGACGTCGATCGGACGGTTGATGAGAGGATCTTGCAAGATCTCGATCGCGAGATTGATGGCTGTCAGTGTGTGGATGTACGTACGTACGGCGCGCGTGCAGGCAACGGCAAGCTAGGCCTAGGCTTAGCTATAGCTACAAACGTCGACGTCGTCCCGGCAAGGAACTGCATGGTTTAGTTACTGCAGTGTGTACTGCCGTAAGAAGCGGCTAGTGGTGAATTTTGGTGGTGTCATCTCTGGTGGGATTGTTGCTTTGTTTCGGCCATGGACAATGCGCCACGCTGGCGAGTACCTTCGTAGGATCCACGTAGCCCGTGGAGGAGAGAGGGCCGTGTCTTCGCGCGGGGTGCTCATGCCTTCTATGAGACACGAGTGCCCTGCTTTGGAAGATGCCCAGGCGCATGACACCATGGGGGATTGGCGATGGCCCTCCTCGATCGTCCCGGCATGCTTCACCCTCGACACCTCGCACTATCTGTCGCGCTGAGATCCTTTACACAGTTACACCATCCGCATGTCTTACCATTGTCAAGGTTGTCGTTGGTGCCGGTTGCCCTGATCTTCGTCGCCCCCGCTGGCTTGATCTACACCACCCGCGGCTTGGTGAGGAGGAGGGGATAATGGCGGCAACGCCTATCTAGTAGGAGGGGAGATGCGACTCTAGGTGAGGGGAGAGTCTGCTAGAGAGGGAGCTCGTCACGGTGAACACACATACACACACACACAGAGGTCAGCAGTGACAACGCTCATTGCCGAGGTTTGGAAGAGGTAAGACGCTGGCGGCAGTGGTGCTCATTGTCGAGGCGGGAAGAGGGGATAGGCCTATAGTGGGACTTGATGCCCGCGATGGTAGGGAAAGGGCTTATGTGTGTTTATACAATTTCTCTTTTCTATTGGGGGTACTATATGCATAATTTTGGACCAAAAAAATAAAAAGAACTAATTGAAGGACTAAAGCTCAAATAAGAAGGTGGTAAAATAGTATATTACTATGGATCCCATCAACAATAGCTTGCATTGTGGAGAAACTATGTTGAAATTAGCCCCATGCTTATGTGGCATGCTATCTCACTTTAAAATCGCACATCAGAGGGGCTTGCATTATTCATACCCTTGCATAATAAATAGATTTTGAGGATGTTCTCTAGTAGAGTACCATTTTACTTATCAAATATGAGTACAATATATATGGATAGTTACAAACAATTCTATAAAAAATGGTAATGTAGAGAATATTGATGTGCAATATTTCACAAAATTGTAAATCGAAACTCAGTTTACAAAGCGATCGAGTTTAGATTATAAAAGAGTTGGGAAATTTTTTTTAAAAAGAGCCCAAAGATTAATCCAAAAATCGAGTTCTAGAATTCAAAATCACTTTTTAATTATAATCGATATATTGATTGGCTGAGTAATGGTGGACCGGCCATGTAGTCAAAGCGAAGTTGTAGCAATAAGAGGTGATGTATGTAATTTTATCTTTTATCTTATGCAAAAGCTATCTAGCTATTAAGCCTTTTTTCCTTGACCCACATATAACTCTATCACTCTCCCTATCTTTTTCCACTAACAAGCTAGCCTAGTGTTACTATTGTTGTTTCTCCATTTGCTCCGTTAAGAGTTATTTTCAACTATTTGTGTCCTACATCTCTGACATCCTTAACTCGTAGCCTCTCAACACTACCCACACCAAACCCATTTGCCAAATAAAAACACACACCACTATACCATTTCCCCTATGGCTTTGGTGGCATTATGCATCCGTACCTCCTCTTCCCTCCAACCCTTGATCCCAACCTCCTCCCACCCCACAAAACTAATGCCTCCTTTGGAAACACGGTTCATCATATCAAAATCATACGGTGATTGAATTGAATATAATTCCCACATAGAAATTCAATAAAATTGTTTGAAATCAGCACGTTCTGAAGGACCCCTAATTAACCATGATTGTCACACCGCCTTGCAAAACAACGACAAGTATTATATTTTATCTCCATATCTTAAAATAAGAAATTTTAGCTCTGCGTTAATTTGTATTGCTAATCCCTTATAAAAATATTTTTTAAGACGAAGAGAAGTACTCCCTCCATTCCAAATTATAGGGCGCCTCATTTTTAAGGAAAATCAATCTCGGTAGCTTTTGACTAATAATCATACTAATTATATCTATACTAATTATTTTGAAGTACTTTCATGTGATGCTAATTTCATATTTGTTGGAATCATAGAATGAAATAAAATACTTGTCAAAGTATGTTATTGAAAACCGTGTAAAAAAAATATAGCCCTTATAATTTGGGACAGAGTTGAGTAGCAAATTAACTCCCATATTTTATTGCACAATTACTGATCATTTAACGTATACGTGCATGCAATTATATCAGCCGGCTGGCCACTGTTTGCTCGATCTACCTAAGGGGTACAGCAGGAGAGTACAGGCAATGAGGTAATTCAAGTAGTCCTGCTGCTGCAGACGAGGTATATCCATTCAGTACACAATATATATAACTATCGGAGGCCGTACGCACGACTGATCAGTCGAAGCGATTTGTTCATACGGCTGCATTACAACATGTCGGTACTCGGTTGATGATCAGTTTAGACGGGAATTGAAAAAACAATGCAAGAACTGTTTAGTCTTGTACTCCTAAATAGTTGAAAATAACTTATATTATAGGATAGTTGTAGTATCTAAGTATTGCTTAAAGTATATTAAATGAAACAAATGGTCAAATACACACACAAATTAATGGCGATATCTATTAATTAAAAACCGCAGGAGAAGTAATAGTTTCAACGCAAAACAAATATACCGAATAAAAATAATGGTAGATTTAGTGAATTTAATGAACTAATTGATTTGGTGGTGTATTTACATCTTCTATAAATTTGATTAGACTTCGTAGAAGTTTGAGTTAAGACAAGTCTAAAATGACTTGTTGTACTCCCCCAATTTCAAAATATAGAGTGCATTTTGTTTTGTGAGAATAAGACTCTAACCAACATTTACTTTTGTAATAATTTTTTTGTGAAGCAAAACTGATGTTATTAGTTTCATATTCAAAATTACTTCCGTATGATTATACTATTGTGTCACATAAATAACATATTAAGAAAGCAACTATTAGTCAAAACCTCATCTAAAAAAAATAAAATAAAATATGCAATATATTTTGAAATGGATGTACTAGAATGAAAAGAGTAATTAATTAAGCCCGTTGTAGATCGCCTGAAAATTATCGTTTTGACTAACATAATCGCATGTAACAATGCGCATAAATATAATTGGCAGCTGTTACCTACGTCCGTACGTGCCACTTAATAGGCTTATATATATAACTTAAAATTCGTGCTCCTGCTGTCGCGTGTCATACGTCGATAGTGGCGGACCCAGAAAAATTGTACCGGGTGTGTTCATTCTAGCGATCACTCCACCATATATTTTTTTAAAAAGAAAACACCTAATTTTGATGGAAAAATTTCGACAGATTTTGGTCGGCTTTTTCAAAATTCTATTCAAATATGGCCCATAATTCATGAAAAATCAATAAAATTCAGAACAATCAATCCCATGTCCTAATCTATATATCTAGCTGCCCCCCCCCCCACTGTTTCTCTTCATCTATTCCTTTCCTCTTCCCCTGATTTGATTTCTAAACCGTGATCATTGTTATATTCTATTTTCTGAGAGGATTCCATTTTTATGTCATTTGATTTCATACTACATCCTAGTATTTTTTTCCAAAAAAATTGGGTATGCCGGTGCCAACCCGGCACACCCCCTAGGTCCGCCCCTGTACGTCGGCGCCTTTTTTCCCGGCGCCGATTGATATCGATCGACGGCGGGGCCCTGGCCGGCGGATCCCAGCCGTATTAAGCTTCACTATGAGAAAAATCATTTTTACAAACGGACCAAAACGATTTTTTCAGATGGCCATCCACTCCTGAACTTGAAGGTGTGCGAAAATACATTATTTTTATAGGCGGGTCTAAATCTAGAGGTTCTTTGACTATTTTTGCAAACGGTTATAAAAGGGTTTTTTTTGTACGCCTGTAAAAATAAAAAGCCAACGTTGGTAAAAAATCGTTTTTATAGTAGAGCTTCATATATGCATGAATAGAGCATTTCTTGGATCTCGCATGCTGCATAGAGAAGGGATTAGAGATGCGATACATGTAGAAAATAGGAAAAATTATACTGCAATTATGAGGAAGATGCATGTGTAAGAAAATCACACTAAAAATACAAAATGATGCATGAAACATGAACAGAGCACGTACAATCTATTTCTTGACTGGCACCTATTCTTGGCTGATTATATCAGTGGCAAAACATATGGGCTTCTAGAGAGGAATATATATGTTCTTGATTCTTCATCAAGCTCATGCATGTGAAACTGAAAATGAAGATAAATGAATGGGATAATATTTAGTGGAAACCACATATTTAGTGGAAACTTGGAAACTACCGTTGAATCGAAAAATGAATGTCTGAGATTCCTCTACGTCATCTCGAGTAAAAATT